GAGTCTGTTCGCGGCTTAGAGTATTCTCCCTCTTATAGAGCTTATATACTATCTTCGCAAGGTACTTCTCCCCTTTTAAGCTTACTAATAGAAGGAAACTATTAGCGGAGTAGTTATAATTTTCTAGTATTAGCTAGGAGGGTCTAGGAAGACTACTTGAATAAGCCCTTTAGGCTACGATATCCTAGATAAGGATACTACAGCAGACTACGCGCTTAATTAGGCTAAAAATCTCGTATAGTAGTAGGAGTCGTACTTCTCTAACGTAGATCTAGGATTATTAGAAAATAGTCGGTAGGTATAGTTAGTAGATAAGCTTACCTTTTTAGTCTCGCTATCGACAATTTGTAAAATCTGCTTTATAGCTGCCTCGTTAGAGAGAACTAGACTCTCTAGAGTAACAAGTTTGTTCTAGAACTTCCGGATCGAGCGATACTATTAGTTATAAGTAGTCGTAAAAGTAGAAGAGGCTACCTAAAAGGCAAAAGTTCTAATAGAGTTTGCTATCTCCTTGTTAATCTCTTTTAATAACAAAGGATTAAGAATCGTTTCTTAAGGAAGGTATTCGTTACTAAGGCCCCTAAGTACTTTATCGTATTGTTTACTAAGAGTAAGGGTATCCTATTCCTACTTAACCTAATCCTCCTTTTGAAATATTATCTTTAATTTGCTTTTACTATCTCTAAGCTTAAGGAACTAGTTAGCTTTATCGATTTCGGCCTATTCGTCGGGTAAGAGAGCTAGATTAGTCTCTACTTGCTTCCTAGTACTAGAGAAGTTAGCCTTTAATAGGAAGTAGGAATACCGACCGTAGATACCGACTATAGACGCTAACTACGAAACTTACGCTTTCTAGTTATATTCTGCTATATACATCGATCTCTATTCCTTAACTAGAGTAGCTTAACGGTCCCTACTTAGCTCGCTAAACTCGCTAGACTACTTAATCTAAGCCTTCTTAAACTATACGAACGATTTATTACGAGCCTTTCTATATCGATTCTAAGCTCTCTTCTCTTCGTCTATAGCGGTAGTACGCTCGTAGTTCCGTAGGGTATTCGGCTTTAGAGAGTATTCTTTAAGTAACTTCGTAGCTACTCCGAGCCTAGTACGCTTATTTTCTAGCGCCTCTAGCGTAACATTCTTCCGTTTCGGTATAGTAGTATCGGTACAGAGGTAGGTACAGACGTAGGTAGGGATATAGGTACGGAGGTAGGTACGGTAGTATATATAGTAGTACGTACAGAGGTAGATACGTAGGATAGAAGCGCTTTAAGAAATAAAATTTCTCTTATCTAAGAGATTTAAGGTTTAGGTAGCAGCCGGAACCCTGTCCCGTAACCCCGAGCACCGACACTACCCTCTATAACAATATTATACTTCCGCGCCTATACTAAGCTCCTCTGCTACTACTATTATCGTCGATTTCCTAAGTGCTCTCCCTCCCCTATCTAAATTTTATTTCGAATATAAGTTGTTGTTGCTTTATTCGCTATTACTAGGACAACTGCTATAGGGTATTATATATAAATACTATATTATCTAGAGAAATAGTTAGACTACTAACTTCTTAAAGTATCGTAGTACTTTCTAGTAAAAAAGTAAAATCTCGTAGCTAGAGCAGAACGTATTCGGTAGACGTAGTTAGCGTATAAACTATATAACATAATATGAAATATCAAGGAAAAATAGATATAGATAGAACCCCTATCCTAATTACTAATTACCTTCCCGCGTAATCCGATATACTCGAGAGATAAGCGGCTTAGCGATTTCCGGGTCTTCCTTATATCTACTAACTTATCCTCTCTTGCTTTTTTCTTATCCTATATATTCCTACTAAGTCGAAACTCTCAAAATGCCTAATATAGACGTATAATCTCTCTCTTCCTACGTCTCTTCCTCTCTTCCTAACGACGACGACGACTAGAAAAGAAGAGATAGTCTATATTAAAAAGAAACGAAGACTAAAGTACTCCCGAAGGCTGCCTACGATAGCGGAAGTAATAAGAGGACTCGATAGTAGTTAGATCAGACGGTTAAGCCGATAGAGAAGAGGCAGACGGAGGAGAGGCAGACGGAGGAGAGGTAGACGGAGGAGAGGTAGATAGAGGAGAGGTAGACGGAGGAGAGGTAGGTAGATAGAGGTATAGGTCAAGTTAATAATAATAAAACGAACGAAGATTCAGACCTACCGACTAAGCGGCGTAGTCGAGACGGGATAGTATCGGTTTAACTAAAGGGGCTATATATTATCTATAATAGATCAGACCGACCGCTCTCTAATATAGCTTCCTCTCGACTAAGTCTCGCTATAAGGAGACTAGGACGTACGAAAAAAGTAGTATAGAAGACCTATCCTAGTAATAAGAGACTACTAGGAAGTTAACGACTATAGAAAAAGCCTATTATTCGAAAGGCGCCTAAAGCGAGAAGACGAACGAAGGCTAGTATAGCCGCTCTCTAAGAAATTAGGAAATACTAGAAGTCTATAGAGCTTTTAATACGCCGACTTCTATTCTTAAGGATTTGTCGAGAGATTACGATAGATTTAGCAAGCAATACTAGCAATAGTATATACCGTTTTCAAGCTAAGGCTCTACTTTGCTTATAGGAAGCAATAGAAGCTTTTCTTATATAGGAGTTCGAAGTCTCTAATATACTAGCGATTTACGCAAAACGGGTAACCTTATAATAGAAGGATATAAAACTTTGTCGCTAGATTCGGAAGCGCTTCGTAGGAGAAGCGAATTCAAGTACCAAGCTTTAATCTTATAGCAATACGCCGACTATATCTACTAACTATATACTCCTAATATCGTTTTCGAGGCTAGTACTTAAAGAATTAGTACTAGATATATAAGATAACCCGAAAACGAGCTTCCGTAAGATATTGTCTCCTATACTAATTATATCTATATAAATCTCTAGGTCTCTTGTTTATAGGCTAGGTACTACTTATATAGTCGTTATATTAATGTTTCCTATTTCCGGCGATCTTACTTTACTATTTCTTACTTCTATTGTCCAAAAACGGCAGGTGCCTACCCTACGTAGACAAAGAATCCCTAGCTTCTAATTGGTCGCGCCCCTAGACCCTAAATTCCGCCGCCTTTAAAGGTATTCCCTACTTCTAAAAAAACCTAACTTACGATATCAATATTAGTTGTTGACCCCCCCCCTCCCGCTCCGCCTCCTATCCGCTACAACCCTTCCTAGCCTCCGCCTACTACTCTGCCTACTACTCTGCCTACTACTCTACCTACTACTCTGCCTACTACTCTACCTACTACTCTGCCTACTACTATACCTACTATACCGCCTACTACTACTATCGTTATAGCGCTGTTACTCGTAGCGCGCCGTAAGCTTACAATCGCTAGAAAGGTACTACGAACATCTAGAAAGAGACTCCCTAGTATAATAGGTAGGAAAGGGCTTCTATCTATAGGTATAAAGAAAAATCGAAAAAAGAGAGGTAGTAAGTATACCTAGTCGGCAGACGTAGTCGGTATATATAGTCGGTATATACTAACATTTCTTTTAGAGGGAGCTTTATAGGAGATCGAAAAATGCTAGAAGGAGGTTATACCCTATATCCTAAAGCTCGCGTTCGTACGTATCGTTAGGGATACTATTATTCTTTTTACCGAAGACTACCTCCCTATACGGATCTAAGCGAGCGTACTCGGTATCCTCTAGGAATAGTACGAGAGTATAGTAATAAAAGTCTTTTCCTTAGCTAATCTTCTCGCTATCTACTATAAGCGAGTTATAGTAATAGCGAAAGATCTCGAATGTCTTCGTAGGCTATTAAAGGAGTAGAATATCTAGCTAGACAATTACGTAGTTACTCTCTATAGCTCTAGCCTAGTTAACCCGAGTATAATATATAAGCCTCGATTAAAGACGAAGAAGACGAAATCGAAGCTAACTCTAAAGAAGCCGACTACGAAGAAGAGAAAGAAGACTCCCGCGTCCTTAAGCGAAGACGAGAGCTTAGATAATCCCGATAACAACCCTAGCGCTTAAACGGGTACTTAAACGGGTACTAGTAGCTAGATAGACGCTAACAATCAAGATCCTCCTAGCGCCAATTAGGATAATAGGGATACTAGTAGCTAGATAGATAGGAACAATCAAGATCCTCCTAGTACCGATTAGGATAATAGCGATACCGGTAGCTAGACAGACGGTAACAATTAAGATCCTCCTAGTACCGATTAGGATAATATAGATACTAGTAGCTAGACAGACGGGAACGATTAAGATCCTCCTAGCGCCGATTAGGATAATAGGGGTTTAGACGATTCAGACGGTAAGAAGTAGGCGACTATCGTAATTTCGAGTAGTAATAAGAGCTCGGAATACGATCTAGATACTAATCCTAGCGTTTAAACTAGTTATCCTCTAGCTAATAAGGAGAATACTTAGGACGATAATACGGTACCTCTAACAACAGAGGATAAATATCTCTAGGCTCTCCTCGATTATATTAATACTTAAGAAGAAGAAGACGAGGAGATAGCTTCCGAGAATTTAGATTTTCCTTTCGGGTAACTAGGTATACTACTTAGTTAAGTAGATTTTTAGTATAGCGACGAGGATATAGGTACCTAGGATTAAGATATCTTGCTTAGCTAAGACTACAATCCTTTCGATTATCTAGATTTAGAGGAGACGGGTCCTAATTCTCTCTAGGAGAGTCGACTAGATATAGAGAGAGAGGATAAAGAAGAGGAGTCGTAGTAGGAGTTTAACGAGGAGATAACAGAATTAGAGGATATAGCAAGGGCAGTATATACGGTAGCTATAGATCAAGCGAATAATCGGAGTATATAAGAATTCGTAGCTAGAGGAAGTATTAACAAGATACTAAGTATACTTATAGAAGAGCCTATTACCGAACGAGACAGACTAGAGACAGAAATTTCAGCTCGCTTTATCCTTAGAGCTACTTGTTTAAGGACCCTATTATTAATAAGGACGGAGCCGGCTTTCTAAGCGGCCTAGCGAAGAATAGAGATACGTAAGGCCTAGAGAGTAAGGCAGCAGTATATAGTAACAGAAAGTCGGTTTAAATACTAGATACGCGTTCTAGCTAGGCTAGAGAAGGAGATGTTAAAGTATTTACTATAAGCCTAAGATCTAAAGTAATTTGGTTTTTCTAATTTTCGTAGTCGGCAGGTATAGTCGGTAGGTATTGTTAGCTATAGAAGGAGATGTCGAAGTACTTACTATAATCTTCTAATCTAAATTAATTTGCTTTTTCCTAATTCTCGTAGTCGGTAGGTATAGTCGGTAGCTATTGTTAGCGAGTTTAGGCAGTACGGTATATATAAGGCTTATTACTATTCAAGAAGCGCTTACTATATTTATTCTATATCTAGAAGAGGTTTTACGTAATACCTATCGCAATACCTATTAGGTATACCTATTAGGTTTTTTCCGTTAGGTTGTACCTAGCTTATAAGCTAGGTACCTACCTTATTTGCGGGGTTAGGTATTAACGTTAGGTTGTACCTAACCTATACCTAACCTAACCTATAACGAGGCCTAATCGAGATACCTAGGATCGATTTAGCGATTACTACGGTATTAGCGTTCTTCTTACCCCCTGCCTTAAGCGGAAGTTCTAGGTACGCGATAACTTTAGAGATAAAAGTTACTACGCGTATTATAAGGGTAAGCTAAGGGCAGAGTAGGAGAAGAGCTATCGTTTATTATCGAGTACCTCTACCTAGTAGGGCTGTTTTAGAAGGAGTCGGTATAAAGGCTATATTAACTTTACTCTTAGTAGGAGTATAGAGTCTTCTTAAAGTCAAAGACGTAGTACTAACGAGGATAACAAGCTTGCCGACTATTTAGACGCTAATATAGATAAAGGGGATCTATTCGAGGTACTAAAGATATAGTCTTTAACAGAGTCTAAGTACCCTACTCTCGTACTAATAGCGCAGGATATTCTCTACATTCCTGCCGCCGGAGTTAGGTATAAGCGCGATTTCAGTATCGCTCGATACTAAAGTCGTTTCAATCGCTAATATACTATAGCAATATTCTCTAGATTAATAGTATCTCGTTTTCGCTATTAGGACGATAAGTACGATACTAGAGTTCTTATCGCCTAGAAGGCTATAGAGGTTTCTTAAGCGCTTCTTAGTACTCTAACTTTATAGGAGATCCTTAGTAAAGACCGAGAGTAGACAAAAGATCTTATAGAACGGATTAGTAACTTAGATGCGATTAGCGATAACGAGGGTAATATAGTAGAGGAGCTAAGGCGATTAGTACGCCTAAGCTTTAAGCTTGCGTAGGAGTACCTCTAGGATACTACGAGACGATTATAGGGAGATCGCTTTAAGCTTATATAAAGTTTACCTACCGACTATATTTGCCGACTATATTCTTTAGATTCAAAATATCACAAGTTGTAGTATAGCGTATATATAATCCTGAGTTTCTTTATTCAATTTAACTATAATCTTTACTTTCGTATCTATATCGGGTTTATATACAGTTTCTTTTCTTATGCCTAGTCCAAATAAATTGCTTCTTCGCTCTCGTTAGGGCATCCGGTTTCTAGGTTTTTTATTTCTATATACGAAGATTTAATACCTAATAGGTACGCAATACCTACTAGGTATCGCAATACCTACTAGGTTTGTACCTAACCCGATAGGTTAGGTATACCTAGCTAAATACCTATACCTATTAGGTATTGCTAATACCTAACCTACCCTATATACCTACTAGGGTAGGTTGTACCTATAATAAGGCCTACTTACGCCTTACTTAGGAAACTCTTAAAGGAGACGTAAAGAAAATTGTACGTTAGTTTTATCGTTAGCAGCGGCTGAATTTCGAGGATTAACTTTACGCTTATCAAAAGATATAAGACGCTAAGGTAGAGGCCTTAAAGCAGTAAGCAAAGGAGCAAGCTACTCTAGATGCTTAGCTACTTACTAAGAACTAAGGTAGTTTCTATCCTTAGTATATAGTAGCTTATAACTATAATTAATTGGTTAGAGCTTTCCTTATTATTCTGGTAATCCCTTTTTGATTAGTATATATAGTCGGTATATATAGTCGGCAGCTACAATAAATATAGAATATATTCCTATTAAATTCTATGCTCTAGGAATTAGGTAGTAGGTATATATGCCTTATTAATATTTCTTTCTACTATTTTGTAGGTATTCAACTTGTATTATATAATACCTATTGCAATACCTATTAGGTATACCTACTAGGTTTTTACCGTTAGGTTATACTCCGCTTATAAGCTAGGTACCTAGCTTATTTGTAGGGTTAGGTATTTAAGTTAGGTTGTACCTAACCTATACCTAACCTAACCTATAACGAGGCCTAACTCGATCGCTTTAGTAGACTATAAAGAGTTATTAAATCTTATATCGATCGACTCGACCTAAGTAAAGATATAGGTATCGATTCCGAAGAGTAGTAAAGGGTTAAGTACCTTATCGACCTTACAAAACTATTCGTAGTAGCGATAGTAATAATTAGAACAACGAAAGGTCTAACTATCTACTTTATCCTTATATACTATAACAAGCTTTTCGATATTCTAGAGGAAGCGATAAAGCGACTTAAGAATAAGAGGATACCTTAGAAGAAGGATATATATTAGGTATACAAGGCTGCTTAGGCTAAGCTTAAGAAATATTATCGAGATACTTAGGATCGATTTAGCGATTACTACGGTATTAGTATCTTCCTTACCTCCTACCTTAAGCGGAAGTTCTAGATATACGATAACTTTAGGAATAAAAGTTACTATAAGTATTATAAGGGTAAGCTAAGAATAGAGTAGAAGAAGAGCTATCGTCTAGTATCGAGTACTCCTATCTATAAGTTATATAGTAGAAGTACTCGGTATAAGAGCTAGATCGACTTTACTCTTAGTAGGAGTATAGAGTCTTCTTAAACTTAAAGGCGTATTACTTGTAAGGGTAATAAGCTTACCGACTATCTAGACGCTAATATAGATAAAGGGGATCTATTCGAGGTACTAAAGACATAGTCTTCGCTTAAGGCTAAGTACCCTACTCTTGTACTAATAGCGCGGGATATTTTCTATATTCCTATAGCCGGAGTTAGGTATAAGCGCGATTTTAGTATTGCTTAATACTAAAGTCGTTTTAATCGCTAATACTCTATATTAATATTCTCTAAACTAATAGTATCCTATTTCCGCTATCGGGACGATAAGTACAATACTAGAGTTCTTATTGCCTAAGAGGCTATAGAGGTTGCTTAAGCGCTTCTTAGTACTATAACTTTATAGGAGATCCTAAGTAAAGACCGAGAGTAGATAAAAGATCTTATAGAACGGATTAGTAACTTAGATACAATTAGCGATAATAAGAGAGATAGGGTAGAGAAGCTAAGGCGATCGGTACGCCTAAGCTTTAAGCTTACGTAAGAGTACCTCTAGGATACTACAAGACGACTATAGTAAGATTAGTTTAAGCTTATATAAAGTTTACCTACCGACTATATTTGCCGACTATAGTACTTAAGTTTCAAAATATTATAAGCTATAACCTAGTATATATATTCTCCTATATTTATTTATTTGATCTAACTACTCTCTTTATCCTCTTATTTATATCTAGCTTATATATAGTTTCTTTTATAATACCTAGTTCAAATAACTTGCTCTTAGAGTACTCGGTTTCTAGGTTTTTTCTTTCTGTTTACGAAAAATCAATACCTAATAGGTACATAATACCTACTAGGTATTGTAATACCTACTAGGTATCGTAATACCTACTAGGTATCGTAATACCTACTAGATATCGTAATACCTACTAGGTTTGTACCTAACCCGATATAGATTAGGTATACCTAGCTAAATACCTATACCTATTAGGTATTGCTAATACCTAATCTACCCTATATACCTACTAGAGTAGGTTGTACCTATAATAAGACCTATATAATTTGCTATTATTATCGATTAGCTCTAGCGCTAGCTCTATAGCTATTCTATTAATTGTATTATATATCTATTAATCGTTGTCGTCGGCTATACTTGTATCTGTTCGGCTAATCGGAGGCTAGAGAATTACTATCGGTTTTATATATAAATTTGTATATATATATTGCTAATCGACTCGGATTAGTATATATCTATAATTATATATACGATATATATATATAGAATTCGTAGAATTCTAACGTTAGTATATATTTAGATATAGTATATAATATATATAGAAGATATAAACTATAGATAGGTAAAAAGATTAGCCTCTATATTAGTAAGATTAGCCGACGTTCTATACTACTAATAAGCTAGCCTATAGGATATATTATACTATAAGTTATATAAGATAATAGAGGCTAGCAATTCCTTAGCATTTGTATATAGAGTTAGGAATACCTATCCTCCTCTTTTGTCTTCTTAATAGGTTAGACCTCTAATATTAATTGAACCTACTTATTAATTAGTATTCTATTATTCTTCTCAATTAGGCACTAGTATAGTATATAGTTCTAATACCTAGACAAGCTCCGAGTACGGCTAGATATAGCAGAAAACCCGATTGTAGTACTCCTTCGAACGGTATACATTTTGTTATTCTATCTCCGCTTCGAACGGGATTGTAACAAGATTACGTCGGAGGCAGGGACCTAAGATAGTTTTGGAACTCTTTCGATAGAGAAGGGGGCTCTACGTAGGAACGGCGTAGTTCGTAGAACAGAAACAGTCTCTCCGACTCTCTCGGCATTTCAGCCTCGTATAGGGAATGTCGAGAGAGAGAGGGCGGCGAGGAAGGAGAGAGAGGAGCGCGACGTCGATGACTTATACTGCCCCGGCTGCAGGAGGAGTAGCAGTTATCCGTAATTGATGATCCCGCTATACAAAGTACTTTTCCTATACTATCTCTACGTACCTGAGGCGTAGGACTAACTTGCTTTCCTTTGCAAATCTGATATAGAACTGGGGTCATACTGCCGTATAAGATGTATCTGTACCGACCGTCATTTCGATAGCAGCAGCAGCAGCAGCAAAAGCATACAATGTTGGCAGCAATCGCAGGTATCAATACCAAAATCCGAAGCCACCCGGTTTCCAACTACGTCTTCTCAACACGTACGTACATGTACTTACCTCGAGGGCGAGCGAGCGATATAGCCAGCTCCAACCCTCACGCACGCCTTAGGAACACATTTTGCTAATGTTCAACTCTTTCTTTCCTCTAGATTTCTGGGGCCCGGCTTCCAATTTCTCTCTCCCTGCCGCAGCACTCTTGGACACACAAAAAAGTGCCGAGATGTAAGTCCGCCAGCCAGCGAACTCATCCGTATCATACCTGCTCCCCCGTCCGTCTATCCCTCCGTCCAAAAAAGAACCTGTATTGACCTCTCTCCTCCTCTCTATCCACAACAGCATCTCCGGACGAATGACCACATCCTTACTCTGCGCCTCGGCAGTTTTTATGAGATACGCACTCGCCGTGCGACCAAAAAATTATCTTCTCTTTGCATGTCACTTTGTGAACTTTTCGGTGCAGAGCGTGCAAGCGTATCGGTATACGTGGTATTGGCGCTTCGGTGGGAAAGAGAGGGCAGAGCAGCTGCAATAGGACGATGGTTGTAGAGGAGGGAGGGAGGGAGGAAGAAAAGGAGAGAGAGATAGCGATCCTCGAGACCAAACTTCAGAGATAAATACACTGCGCAGGTGAAGTTGATCTTGTAGTGGGAGGCAGTCAAGCAGTGAGCCTCAGGCTTATTAGCTTCTTGGCACGCGCAAATGTTTGTGCGCATCTCGGTTATATACCTGACCATGAATGAAGCAGAAGTTTTACCTTTGACATGATCAATTCGTACGGATGCAGCAACTATGTACATGAAGTATCCAGTTCCTATCATCCGGAACAGACTCATGTACTATTGCAATACTACATGCTGTTACATAGGTATATAGCCATTGCGCATTGCGCCGATCGGCTTGCAACGACTCTTCCGGAGCCGCGGGAATGAGACTTCCTGTTCACCTACCATCTTCTGGAACATTGTCACGAGCACAGGATTTGCGCCTGCTGCTGCTGCACGTCGTGCCCACTCATCGGTATCTACTTCAACTGCGCCCGGCACGACAGAGCGCAGTTGATCCAAGGGGATATCCGTGTCGCCAATCTCGTGCAAGTATGCGATTTTCCCATCTTCAGACGGTCCTGACCGCACAGCCTGCACCATGTCCTGCACCACAGATTGGAGTGGCACCAGATTCAAGCATCCTCGAAATCGCGAGGACAAGGGAACAGAACGGGTGAGTCGACAATAGTGAAGCAATGTCTGTGTCAGATCCATGTCTGCCACGCTCGTGGAGTCGGCGTGGACTGCTGCTCCCGTTTCCATACCATCTGGTTGGACACTGGCTGGTCGATGGATGCAGATGGGCCAGCGAGCACCGCTTTCCTCGAAGACTTGTTCGAGAAAAACCTCACTGGCCCATTTGGAGGCGCCGTATCCCGTCGTAAGCGTAGGCAACGGTGGATATGCCGCTGCCGACGTTTCATCTGCCATTTCTAGCGTCGAGGATGACCAGATTTCTCCTGAGGATACGAAATGGATGGGTACCATACGGCGGACCTGCTTACCGAGGCACATCTTGATAATCTCCTGGGTAGATCCGTGGTTTGCCTTCTGGATCGATTGGTAGCTCTTCATGTGCGAGGTATCGGCACCGTTATGGATGATGCAATCCGCGCTGCCAAAGATGCGAGTGACTGTCGCCTCATCCAAGCCGAGATTGGGCTCCGAAAGATCGCCGGCGTGAACTTCGACTTTGGGATGTCGAAGGAGGGAGTTCTTTTGCGATAACACTTGCTTGGTGCGTGCGCTTCCCGTCCGAACTGCAATGCAATGGACACGCTGGCATGTGGGCTCGGATATCATCGCCTGCAAAAATGCCTGGCCCATGAAACCGGTGGCACCTGTCATCGCAATCACTCGTGGTGGCGAGGTCCTCACAGATTGGGCTAAATGCAGCTCTGTCAGGAAGCTACCAGGAATATCTGTTTCTGCATTCCAGTCAATGCCTTGCGTCTCGTCAGACTGCGAGACACTATTGGGGTCAATTCTTCGAGCCATCGCGCCGAGAGTGGTGTATTCGAACATGTCCATCAACGACAATTCCACACTCCACGCCTTTCGGATCTCATATTGCACTCTGAGCAGAAGAGTGGAATTTCCGCTGGGACACGACACAATCAGCTTCGTCTCTCTGCTACGACGATTATGATCTCAACTTACCCGATATGGAAGAAATCCGTGCTTGGTCCAATCGTATACTGCTTGGAGACCTCGGTGGAGAGACAGGCGATCCAGATATCCTTGAGTTTGGATTCCGTTCCCGTAAGGAGGCAATCGTCAATTCTCGCTGATGGCTGTTGAGGGACTGGTTGGCTCCCTCGATTGAGCGGTAACTCAGCCACTGCCTTACGATCCAACTTGCCGGAAATCAGCATTGGGAGCTCGGAGACCGGGAATGCTGCGGCAGGACGCATGTATTGTGGTAGTTGCAACCGAGCAATGAGCTCGTTCAGGAACGCTTGCTGTTCATCCTGTGTTGGATATGCATCGGTCATGAACTTCGCAAACGCAACAAGCACCCTATTGTCTTCTTGCGGAGACGAAGGGTGTTCCATCTGGCGAGGTGTCACGACGACCTGAGCCAGCGCACCGTCACTCTCCTGAAGCATGCTGTGTTCCACTTCAGCAAGGTCAATTCGGAGTCCTCGAAGTTTGATCTGAGTATCACCGGCTTTGCGTCCCTCGATCACCATGGTGCCATCTTCGAGCCATCTTCCCACATCTCCCGTGCGGTGCATAGTGTTCCAGCCTCGGGCACGATAGCTTTCCGGCGCCAGTGGATTGGGCAGGAATCTCTGCGAAGAAAGCTCAGGGTCCTTCACGTAGCCATGGGCGACTCCTGCACCGCCTATCACAATCTCACCTTGGACGCCGACAGGTACTGGCTGCAAATTGGCATCCAGTATGTAGGCAAGGTATCCCGATAAAGGTTTTCCTACCGTGATCCTCACGGACTTGATGTCACCCGAGTAGTCCAGCTCTGTTCCCACTGCACCAGCTGTGGTCTCGGTGGGTCCGTAGACATTGAAGAAGCGTGGTCGTGCGCCGGACGCACTGAGTTTCGCGAGGGAGGCAAAGAGCTCTAGTGTACCATATGTGGTGGGCTCACCTCCGGCTAAGGCTGTTCGCCAGTGCGGGAGGTTCTGCGCGAGCGCCGTGCGGTCTCCATAACGATGCCAATTGGCATATTCAGATGGCGTCGCTCCGGTGAATGAGATGTTCTCTTCCGCAATCATCTTGGTGATGAAAGTGGCGTCTGCACGATGCCTCGTAGGTACCAAACAGAGGAGCCCGCCCGAACAGAGCGCGAGGAATGCCTGCACGAAACACATATCAAAGCTGCAGGAAGTTTGTTGGAGGAACTTCCCTCCTTTCTCGGTGCCAAATAGCAGCAGGGCGGCTTCAGTCCAGTTCTTGAGACCTCCGTGGTGAAGGATGATGCCCTTGGGCGCGCCCGTGGAACCGCTTGTGTAGAACACCACGGCCGCATCGCCTCCCTGGATGGAAGGTATCTCGACACATGGCCCGTTCATTGATTTTCCACACCTGTCATGATGGATGAGCTGCGAGATAGTCGCTATGCGAGCCATCGAAGAGATGCCTGTTTCAAGAAGCGATTGCTCGAGCTCGCTATGCTCTTGAGAAATGATGAGTCGGGGCTCACTATGCTTCACGATTCCTTCTAGACGGGCAACTGGCAGACTGATATCGAGCGGGAGACAAATGGCGCCGGCTCGCAATATGCCCAGAACGCAGCACATCCATTCGGGAGTGCGTTCGCAATACGTCGCAACAATGGAGCCTTTGACACATCCATCTGCAACGAGAGCTTTCGCGAGTGTGTTTGCACTCTGCATCATGCTTGCATAACTCATGACACGACTACCTTCACCCGCTGTCTTGAGTGCGCCTGCACTGGGGTTCGTCTCCGCCCAGGTCATGATCAGGTCAAGGACGGTCTCTGCAGTGGAGCTCGGGTAAGGACCTGCGTTTCGCAACGAAACTGTCAGAGCACGAGGCTGATATATACCGTATCAAGGGACCCACTCACCAATGCTGAGCTCATGAACTCTTTCCATCTCCTGGGCATCAAACATGGCTGCTGCATCCAGTGTCAAATTCGGAATTCGCGCAAATGATGAAGCCAGCTTCACGATCCATTTAACCATTGTGTCCGCTTGCTGCTCCGTGTATAGATCATTGCGAACGATGAGATGGAGAGCACAGTTGCCTTCGATCGAATCGTCGATGATATCCAAGGTGATGTCGTATGGTATCTTGGATGCCTGGAAAGACAACAACTCCAGTTCGCAATCGTCGAGATTCTGTTTCTTCCGCATGCCCTGGCGGTAGTCAAAGAATGCTTGCGCCAAGGGGGCATGATTTGTCGATCGTGTCTCTCCGAGTCTGTATCGGGATCTGTGTCAGTCGAGCTGCCTTTCCATTCGAGTACAGCTGTGATGGGAGAAACTTACTCAGAAAGAAGCAAATTGAACGGGACATCAGAATGCTGCAACGCAGCAGTCGTCTTCTCTACGCAATCACGAAGGACGTTGTTGAAACGCTGTGATGGATCATTGCAACACCGGACCAGCACAATGTTGGCAAACGCTCCCAGCACGCGAACTGAGTCTTGCTGCGGTCGATTGGAGTCACTGATTCCAATAGCGACCTCCGGAACATCTGCAAGTCGAGCGAGCAGCGTACGGAACACCGCCAGGAAGAAATGGAACGGCCGAGCGTTATTTCGCCGGCAGACGGACCAAATACGGCTTTTGACCGCTTTGCTGATAACCGCTTCCGCTCTGACATTGTCATACTCGCCTAGCCAAGACCTGTTGACCCGCTGCGAGATCCGAAGTGTAGGTAATGGCGGCGGCGGCGAAGCCCAGCAATCTTTCCAGAAAGTGAGGCTCGCGTCAAAGGCACCGCTCTTATACGCTTCATGCTGGGATTGCACCCATTCCGAGTGTTGATACAGTTCCGTTTCGTCCAAAGACGAGAAATTTTGGTACAGTTGGACTAACTCTCGGAGAAAGACGACGGACGAGAGACCATCTATCACTAGCGAGTGCGAGCCGGAGACTAGATAATGCTCGTTTTCAGAGAGAGAGAGCAGAAAGATGCGCATGGTCTCCGCGTAATCAAGAGCATAGGCAGTCGTTTGCACTTTTTCGACGAAGTCGTCGACTTGTGCTTGACTGGTAATGCGCTCACGTTGCACCCGCAAAGTGCACGACTGTACAATGCCCATCCTCGTGTGCCCTTCGGACGTTCGAAAACAGACTCGCAGGGCATCATGTACCTGTCCCAGATGCAGAATCGCACGCTCCAGGTCATCTACCCGGAGCTTGCCCGTGATTCGGTAACACGCGGTGTGATTCAGTGAGGACTTGTCCTGGGTTGACGTCAGACCGAACCAATACATCTTTTGATTGAATGACATTTCCATTGATTGCACCACAGGGGGGAGTTGTGGTTGGGGGCTGACGTACTTGGACCCATTGGCACTGGCATCGTGACCATTCTGGAGCTCCTGGCTCTCTGCTGGAGTGTCGTCTTGAATTATCAAATTCGGCACCAGCTCTGGTGAGAGGTCGGCGGCACCGAACCCAATCACGTCACGCACCGTGACTCCGGAGAGGATCTTCATAACCGGGATATTGACATGGAGGGTTTTGAGCCACCACATGCGGATCTCGACGGCGAGCAGCGAGTCGAGGCCAAAGCGATCGAGTCGTTCGTCAAGCAGGTGCGGGTCTTCGGCCAAGGTGGAATCGAGCTGGAAAAGCGCGCACAAGGCAGGGAGGAAGGCATCCTGCAATATATCGAAGATCTGTTCCTCCGTCGTCGCTTTTTCGAGCAATGCTTTCACGGAAGCTCGTGATTGCGATGTTTTGGATGCAATTTCGGCCGTAATATTGCCCGTCATGTGTGTCGAGAGCGGGTTGACATACCATGCCAACTCTTTGGCCGGCTTTTCCTCGAGCTTGGCGATGCCCATGCAAATCTCCAGCGGCTGTCGCTCCTGTGATTGTGGTCTGCCCGCCACCACAGCTTCTGCAAAGAGTTGGTGGAAATCGCTCTCCGACATGAACGTGTATTCGCCCTGCCGAGCAAAGATGTCTCGCACCGCCTCGCCTTGCTGAGTGACGTATCCCACGCCCAGAATGGGACCAATGTGGATGACGGAGGCTGCTTGTCCGCGTTGTCTTTTCTGCTCCGCGAGACTGGTCATGAACATATTCGCAGCCGAGTAGTTGGACTGTCCCGCGTTGCCAATAATAGCGGTGGCCGATGAGAAGAAGACAAAGAATTCCAGATCAAGAGCTTGCGTCAGGTTATCCAAATTGATGCTGCCGACCACTTTGGGTCTCAAGACCTTCTCCATAATATTCGAGCTCATGTCCTGGAATCCCGTATCCTGGAGCACCATAGCTCCTTGGGCGACGCCTCCCAGAGGTGGCATGGATGAGCGAATCCGGTCGTAAATGGAAGACGACTGTTCTTTGCTGGTCAAGTCGCAAGGAAGCACGACCACCTGGGCTCCCCGTGTTGACATCGATTCCACCCATGACCTCGCGATTCGGGGAGCTCTGCTGGTGATGACGATGTGCATTGCACCATGAGCGATCATCCATTCGCACAGCGAAAGTCCCAGACCTCCGCTGAGTCCCGCAAGCCAGTAAGTCTTGTCACCAGAAAACTGGACGCTATCCTCGACCCTGCGTACCTTGACCGGGACGTTGGGGCTGGGACTCCACGCGACAACAGATCTTCTTGCGTCAATGGGGGTGGCTTCCTCGTTCAATGCAAGCTCACTGGCAGGTACGATGGGAACATCTGGTATGGAGGTTGCCGTGCTGCAATGGCGCGAGGCAAATCGGACTGCATCGATGAGTTTGTGCGGGGAACTCAGATGTCCCATATCGTCGACACTGAAGGTCGATTCTGAGTAGTAGTCGTTCAACGCTGCAATCTGGTAGTGCGCTCGCAGTGTCATGATACGAGCGGCGATCTTCGACGGTCCGGCATGTCTTTCGCAATTGACAAATAATGCCTTGTCGGATGGAAGAAGAGCATCCAAAAGGCGATCGGGAGATCTGGGGTTGACACGAATCCGTGTTATGTCTGTAGAACCATCGTTCGATGATGTCGTCTCGATCAGAGTGCACTGGACGTTGCGATGCTCTGCCAACTCTCGCAGGGTTGTCGCGAAGGAGGGCTCAGGGTTCAACATGACCACATAGCTTCCATTAGAGACGGTGTCTAGGATGCGCGCGCAGATGAGAGATTCTGCAACAAGAACCAGGAATCGAGCGTGAGAAGCAGGTGGGATTACCGTCTGCATGGCAACACTGTGCAGCACTTGAATCCTAGGCCCTAGTCGGGATGAGAGAACAAGCTGCAATGCTCCTGTATCAGCAGCCCTTGCGAGACTGAGATAGGCGTGGCTACACTCATCAGTCCAGCGAAGTGCGGAAAGCAAGGAGCTGAGCGGGACGGCCCAAGGTAGCTGGGAAGCAACGATCGGCTCATCCTCGAAGCGATATGTCGAGGTGGCGGGCTGGAATTTCAGAGCGATGGTGTGGCTAGCACCATTGGGATCGAGCGGCATGTCTCGGTACAGGGCGCGTCGGGATGAGTTGTAACGATCGTTCATGTCCTTGCTCGGCACGAGGCGAGGGATGAGCATCTCGCCGCGGGCATCTTGGACGAGTTCGCGCTCCAGATTCCCGAATATCGGCTTTCCACCTTCTCGGCGATTGGCAATAGCGAGCTGTGCACGGAAGCGGAGTGCTGCGGTGGCAATGGCGTGCGGGGTGAGCGATGCATCATGTTCAAAATCCAGAAACTGTAAAGTCAGTGTCGGCACTTCACACAGCACCCCACGCAGCATTCCCACGGTCATGTTGGTGAACGGATTTGACGCCCGTCTGCCATGTGTCACCCAGAAGATGGACCCGAGACTGCACAAGACTGCTTTGATTGCATCAAATTCGGATTGGTCGACGACCTGCAGCAGTGGCTGGTCCAGCTCGGAGAGAGTCAAGATAGAAGTCGAGGATGAGATGTCGGAACGGCCGGGCGCAGTGATCAGATCCGAGAAGGATGCGAATGTGGTCACACGTGGAAAGGGGTGCTCGAGCATCGGGACGAGAGCGGCGAGAAGATTCTGGGTCCGCGGGGTCTTGCCGCCGATGAGCACGAGCTCGTCACTGGGCGGCGGAAGCGAGGATGGCAGCGGAACGGTCAGGGGCTCCCGTAGATGCGCCACCCGCTCGTCGACGGCCTGGCTGACAAAGACGGCGGTGGGATGCGAGAAGGGATGGTCGGTGGACGAGCACGTGTCGACGCCCGAGAAGCCGGTCTGGCGCAACACGGCGTCCCATTCGGCAACGGACACCAACGGCCCCAGAGTACGGCCGTCGTCCCGTCCCAGCCACCAGTCGTGGAAGGCGCCGAAGATGGCGCCACTGCGTCCGACATTGTTGCTGAAGCCTTCCTGTATAATCAGGTACCCGCCCGGCTTCAACAAGCGCCGGATGTTCCGCATCGTCTCGGCCAGGTCGCGGGTGACGTGCAGCACCATCGAGGCAACAATGACATCGTAGCTGTCGGCCTGCAGTCCCTGCTCCACCGGGTCCTTGCCGACGTCGAACACCTGATACTTGAACTTCGATGCCTGATCGGCAAACACCTGTTGCGCCGTCGGGAAGAATGCCGAGGACACATCAGAGAAGGTGTACGAGGCAAACTCATCCGTCAGCCGGAAAATGGCCTTGGTGCATCCCGCTGTCCCTCCGCCGACTTCCAGTACATTCAAGTGGGGATAGCGGTGCGTGATTTGATGCACCACCTTGGCCACAAAATGCGTGACCTCCTTCAGTCCCAGACTGGCCACGTACACTTCGTTCAGCAAGTGGTCCTCCATGGCAATTTCAATGGCCCCCACCTCTCCGCTGGCGATTCGGATCAAATTCTCGCCGATCCGCTGAAGGAGCCGAATGTCGACATTGTCTTGGAAGGGTGCAATGGCTTCCGCGATCGTCTCGAAGGTGTCCTCATGCCACTCCGCTTTCCAAAACTTCCTGTCCCCGGATCGGATGAGCGAGTCAATATGACTAGCAAACCCGAAAATGCCTGCAATCGGGCTGCTATCGCGTCGAGCATCTCCCGGAGGTATCGCTCGACACATGTTCTGCATGTAAAATTGCGAAAGCCTCTCCAGCAGCTGACCCAATTGCACTTCCTCCTGCGTGGGGCTCAGATCTTGCGATGCAACCGCGGCATCCGGATACGCGGGGCCCCATTCCACCACCGACAGGATCTTTTTGTCGTCTTTGGCAGATGCCGGAGCAAAGGGAATACAATCGAGGCCTTCAACTTGACAAATTGCATGCTGCTGCCCCTTGCTGGATGGCAGGTACACGTCGACGTCACCTTCAAATTTGCCTTTCTGTACCGGTTGGCACGCGTCGAGCTCCAACATCTTTCCCTTGGTCAATGCGGGCTGGCAGAGAGCAGGATTGACTGTGATGCGCTTGATTGTTCGTGGAACATGAAGTGACCAGAGCGTGCCATCATATGGAGCTGCTTGTGCCAGGAGCACGGACTGAAATGCGGCGTCCAACATGGCTGGATGAATCATTAGTGTCGACTCCGGATCATCCGGACACTTGACTTGTCCTCTGACCGCCCCCAGACGTCGCTCGAGTCCTTGGAGAGCGTAGAAGGGCCCGGTATATTGATATTCCATGCGCTGGAGACTCTGATATAGATCCTCCGTTCGGACCGGAAGAGTGTTCTCTGGAGCCGGGCCTCGAGGCGGCAGCGAAGCAGGGTTGGGCTCTCCTAGTGTGATTGCGACAGAGCCTGTAGCAAGTGTTCGAAGGGGGAGATCGACGAGCCCCGGCGATGAGGCGGCAGTCACGGCTGCTCCCACATACTGGAAGTCTGCCGTCACGCTATCATCACGGTGCGTGATGTTGTACAGTCGAAACAATGCCTCGACTTTGGCATCATCACTGTTGAATGTCATGGCCTGGCTGATATCAATATCGTGCACCTCGAACAGGGCGACCGGGGAAGCATCTTCCAGGCTCCGGACGTACTCTCTCGCAGCTTCGATGGCGAGTGCCACATATCCTGCAGCGGGAAAGACAATTTGACCTTGCAGACGATGTCCACCGAGCCATGAAATCTCTTTAGCACTTAGGATCTGGCGCCACTGCCGGACACCGTCTGCAGCCTCATGGAGATGTCCAAGCAGCTCGTGCTCGGGAGCTCGCTGGAGATATGCTCGCGTGCTTCGGGAATCATGCCAATAATTCGTATCATGGTCCCACACATAGCCAGGAGTAGTCCTCTCGAATCTCAAGGAACTCCCACCGGATATGAAACGCTCGTAAGCTTGCAAGTCCAGACCAGAAGGGGGCATGTAAAGCAATAGATGCCCCAGACCGCCAGCGACTGAGGCGATTGCGGAAGAAGATCTCTTCAATAGTGATGTGTATGTGATTTCTTCTCCTCGCATACATTCTTCGCGGAGGGTTTGTTCTGCAGGACGTCGTAGAGCGGGATGCGGCCCAATTTCCAGTGCAGCAGCAGGAGTGCCAATTATCTTGACTGCTTCCTTCAGCGCTTGCACGAACAACACGGGACTGAGAAGATTGTCGACCCAATACGCCGCTTTCAGCCGATCGCTGTTCTTTTCGGTGACCCGTTGGCCTGTGACGCTCGATATCCAGATGTGTTTGCTCAATGGATTCGCATTCACCTTAATGTCGAGGTCCACAAGAGCTTGAAGCAACTTGTCTGCAGCAGGTACCATGTGATGCGAATGATATGCTCTCTCCACCATGAGCACACGCACAAAAATCTCTTCGTCCTCAAAAAGCTCACGAAGCTCCTCAATCGCGTCCAGGTCTCCCGAGAGCGTCACACTCGAGGAAGAGTTAATCGCGGCAATGGTGACCCGGTTCTGGTATTGACCGGATTCTAGCACTTCCGACGCATCCTCGGCCGATGTATCTACTGCCATCATCGCTCCTGGTTGCCCATTGCTGCTTCCTGCAAGCTTGGTGAACAAACCACGGTAGTACGCGATGCAGATCGCATCCTCTGCTGAAATGACGCCAGCAGCGTAGGCAGTGGCCATCTCGCCGGATGAGTGGCCTACTACGGCGCCCAGCTTCAGACCAGCCGAGCGGGCAATCTCAATCAAGAGTATCTGAATGGCCGTGCATAGTGGCTGAGAAAATCGTGCCTCATTGACCCGAGAGTCATCAGCAGCCTTCAATAGCTCTCCTCTCAGCGACCATTCAGGACGATGGGATTCCGGAAGTTGAGCTAGCCGCTTTTCTAGCCGTGCTATGATGTTCGACGCCATCTCGGAACCGGTGAGCAGCTCGGCCCCCATGGTTGCCCATTGAGCACCCTGGCCAGTGAAGATTGCCAGAACATCAGAGCTGCCCTCCGAGATGCGTGCGGTCCGGACGCCGATGGGCTTCTTCTCAGCTTCAGAAGTTCGAAGAATGTCCTTCAACTTCGCCAGAAGCTCGAGGCTGTCCGCTGCAACAACGGATACCGCGTGTGATAAACGACTTCTACGGCTGTGCAATGTATACGAAAGGTCTCGAATTCGCACAGTCTCCGCATTGCGTTCGAGATAATCAATGAAGGATTGCAAGTAGTTTCGCAACGCCTTCGGCGTTGCAGCGGAAAAAACAAAGGGCGTAAAGACCGGCGCTGAAGTCCCTGATTCTGTCGTTTCATTATGATTGTCGAAGGACTCCAGGATGGCGTGAGCGTTGGTGCCGCCGAACCCGAAGCTGCAGCAAAAATCTCGTCAGCGGCCGTTTCATTGAATGACATGTGGAGAAGACTGACCTGTTCACACTTGCACGTCGTGGTTCTCCCTTCCCTGTAGCTGGCCATGGGGAGGAAGTCGTGGCGAGATGCAAGTGATCCACGAATGGCTTGAGACTGGGGTTCAGTGATTCGAAGAGCAGATTCGGGGGCACGACACCGTTTTGCAACGCCAAAGAGGCCTTCAGTACGCCCGCTACGCCAGCAGTACCTTCAGTGTGCCCGCACACAGTCTTGATACTGCCGATCTGGAGTTGACCTTGATCAGCACTCGAATCGCCAAAGAAGGCGGAGTGGATGGCCTCTGCCTCTGTAGGATCTCCGATGCCTGTGATTTGAAATTCAGTAAGTTCATTGTACAGTGAGTCGCAGAAGCTGATTCAAATACCTGTGCCAGTGCCGTGTGCTTCAAAGCTGCGTTGCCATTGTCAACTGTTGCCTCGCACAGCCAACATGGTGGTACCTACTATTGCGGTCGATCATCAACCGATGATGGGTTCAGCCCGGCTCTTGCATATGTTGCTCGAATCAGCGCAGCTTGTGCACTTGCTGATGGCCTGCATCATTCAGTCAACATCCATGTGCTCGATTGTCTGTCTCTAAGTCAACAAAACATACCGGGTGATTCCATTGGTGCGGCCGTCGGAGTTGCACCCGGTCTCTCGAATGACACACTCCACGTAGTCTCCATCGGCCACCGCGTCCGCAAGTCTCTTCATAATCAACGTACAGACACCTTCGCCACGCGCATAGCCATCCGCCTTCGAATCCCACATCCTCGATCGACCATTCGGGGACAGCATTTGAAGCTTGCTCTCGCTAATGTAATTGCTAGAATCCAGGATCATGTTGGCCCCTGCTGCAACAGCAATGTTGGATTGTTTGGATCGTAGCAATTGTACGGCTTGATGAACGGCCACCAGACTGGAACTACAGGCCGTATCAATCGTCATCGACGGTCCGTGCCAGTCAAAGAAATATGATAATCGGTTCGACATGAAGCTTCGTGCAGTTCCCGTGGCATGGTATGTTCCAATCGTCTCGGGGTCTTTCAACATTGCCGATTCGTACTCGCCACTCATGAGACCAACATAACACCCCGTCTCTGTTCCCTGCAGCGACTCGATCGTGATCCCCGCATTCTCCATTGCTTCATACGTCACTTCGAGCAGGAGACGCATCTGGGGGTCCAGCACATTGGCTTCGGCATTGTTGATGCCAAAAAAATTCGCATCGAATTGCCGTTCGACGCCTTCTTCTGCGAGAAAGTAGCCATGGAGATCTTTGACATTTGTGTGGCCATGATGCGCGGAGTCTTGGTGATAAAAGCCCTGCGCCTGGAATCTTGACGGCGGCAATGGGGAGGAAACATCTCGAGGATTGACCAACAGGTCCCAGAGTTTCGAAGGCGATTGAGCACCACCGGGAAAGCGACAACCGCTGCCGATGATGGCAATGGCCTGGTCCGACGCGTTCCACTCCGATGGAGCGTCTGTGTTGGGCGTAAAATGAGGCATTCTGGAGGGAAGGTCAAGGAGGAGGCAAAGAAAAACCGATTGCGTACACTGTCGAAACCTCTGCCGTGTGAAAGAACTGCGTCGTCGTCGTTGGTAGTATGTATATAAAGAGAGCAAAGAAACGGCTAATCAGGTAGGTATCTTTTCGTTCATCCCAAACTGGTGTTAGTTACTTGGTTAGTATCGAACAAACGTTCCCCATCAACTACATACGTGTAACTAGTGTCAATTCAGTTCAGTTCACTTCCATCCTACGGTTAACTTTGTCCTTTTCCCCTCCCCCCTCCCCCTCCTAGGTCCCCACGTACGCATATACGTATACCTAGACAGGCAAGCAGGCAGGCCCGCCTGTCTTGTCCAACCCGCCTGTCTTGTCCAAGTTGTCTTGTCCTTGGTTTTTTCTTTGCTGCGCCCGACGATAACGCGGTCAGTCAAGTAAGGTAGGTAGGCCAGGACGATAGAGGGAGGGGTAAGGTCGTGTAAGTTTTGTTTTTGGTTTGATATCAGTAAGACAAAAAACTTATCCTCCCTGCTGTAATGAGACGTCGCGATACCTGCTAGGGCTTCTCTAGGTCTTGGAATCGGATATATTGGGAGATAGGGAGCTCCGAAGCTTGCGAGAGGTCAGAACATAGAAGAGAGAACTTAGAAGAGAGATTTTAGGATTAGGAAATATGGATCTAGGATTCGAGGTTGCTGTACCTATATATATTGTAGAACTATAGTAGTATATATAGTATATATATTCGAGTAGTACAAACTAGATACAAGATAAATTTAGAGTCTTATATAAGCTAATACTTTTATATAAAATGTATTAAGTATATAGAGAGCAAGCCCTTAAGTAGTTGCTCTAGAAGATCTATAATATTATATATCTAGTTTACGTACCTTAGATTATATATAGCAGTATAATAATACCTCTAAATAGAGCTACTATACTCTTTCTCTTTCCTTCTATAGAGCGGTTATAGTAGATAGTCTTCCTTCTATATTGTACTTACTATATAAATAATATAAGGCTTCTATATATACGTTGCTCTCCTATAACAAATTAGCTCTACTTATATAAAAACTTATAGTATTGTCTCTAGAAGTTATAATAGAAACGCTAAAGCCTCTAGCTAATATACTACTAGTACTTATAGTAGATCTTTATTTACTATATTATAGAGTTAGTAATAGAGTATATAGTATAGAAATAATACTAGTTACTATAGATAGTATATACTTATCTAGTTTTAGTATAGTCTTTCTTAAAGCAAACTATAATACTAATTAGCAGTAGAGATATATTAAGCTAGGATTACTAGTTTATAGTAGATATATACTAGAGCTAGATAGTAGTAGTAGTTATAGGCTTTCTATAATATTAAGATAGTATTATACTTTAATTTAACTATAAGAGCTAAAGACAGAACTATAGATATAGATAGATTACTTTTTTAAAAGCTATATTAGTACTATAAGAGATAATAGAGTAGTTATTATAACTATTATAACAGATTTAACTATATATATATATTATTTAAAGAATACTACAAGTAACTATACTATATAGAGAATCAGAGTCTCTAAGAATATATACAGGTATATCTCTAATTATCGAGACCTAGTACTAAGAAATCAGAATCTCTAGAACAAAGTTTTCGAGTCCAAAATTCAGGTTTTAGTCTCTTGTTTGGTTCCGAGCGCACTCGGAAGCTCGATCGGGACTACTCCGATCTAGGTTAGAGGGCTTAGAGTCCGCACTTGTCTACCGACCGCGCAATTCTAGGTCTTTTCGCTTCCGTACTTTGACGTCTACTTGTCGGAGAAAGAAGTCCTCGATTGTATCGTACTACGCTAAGCCTGTTCCTTTCGACAACGATACTAAGAAGATGAACACTGCCTTGATAAAGGCTAGAAACAAGACCAAAGTATCGAAGAGCTTTTAATACAATCGCTTGTTTGTTGGAATGCTACTTTCGAGATACAATCGACAAAGACGATCAATCTCCTGACTAAGTCCAGATGTACTTCGAGCGATTGCAACACGTACAAGAATCGCAGCGTCAATGATACCAGGTATACATCTTCATTATTGCATCAAGCCGTGAACCTAGCTGAGAGATACAAACAGTACGTATTGATACTCGTTATCAGACTCCTAGTCATAAAGCCCCTCAGTTGGTATTCGGCAGCTGTTTGTACAATGTCGCCAACAAATTCGTCGCGAATATAACCAACTTTTCGTACCTTGCATATTCGAAAGCTTGTCCTTGCTAGCAAGAATACCTGCGTGAACGGGTTAGTTTCGGTACTCCTTACAAGTGCTCGAGGGGAGCTACTTACTGTTGCTAGTGGCCGCAAGGTTGTCGAAATTGACATGCTCGCCTGCGAGATCAGTCTTGTCTGCGAGAAGGACACGAAAGGGGAGCCGTAGATTCGTTGTCGACGGTCCTCGTTGCTCATTTTTGCAAAACAGCCATCAGCTTAGCCGCAAGACCAACTTCTTTCCCGAAACCCCTATCTTCAGCATCTCCAAGCCTTTGACGATCCCCTCGAGGCCTCCTTCGACGATCTGGATTGGATGAGGCCGCAAGCTGCGTTCATCCATCAATCTCTGGAATTCGACGGCCTTCTCGACAGCAAACTCATGCTTCGCTCGGCTGGGCTCTCTCCTGTAGCCTGGACTGTCGATAGGTACACCAACCCCAAAGATTTCGTGACCTGTGGAAAGTTAATCAGAACATCGATCACGGACAAGCTAGTAGCTTTCTACTACACTTACCATCTACAAAGTAATGTTTGACTATTCTGCGTCTCTTGTCTCCGGGTCTGGGGTCGGGTGCTAGCTCAAGGTTGACAAGTCGGCCCCCTAGTCGGCCAATTGCCTCATGACATACGGTAATAGCGTGATGATCTGAAATGCAATCGAGCACGCGCTTCAATGTCCCTCTTGTCAGCGTTTTGATCTGAGACGGAGTGTCGGGATGTGAATAGTCAAAGACATGGTCTGCTCCGTATGACTTGACGAGATCGAAGTTCTTGGGCGAGCATGTGGCTATCGTAGAGTAGCCAGACCTGCAATGTTCCAGAGAATGGTGTCAGCTTCATGCCATCTTTGCAAGGGGAACGCTTGGGGCTCATTTCAGAGCAAGACTCACAGTTTGAGAAGTTGCAATGCCATTGTGCCACTCGCAGTGCTACCACCGTACACGAGCACATACTCTGGCTTCTCTAATGATGAACCAGAAATCGGGACGGTCGGGCTATGAGTCAAGTCAAGGGCGTCCGAGTGCCAAAGTGCCAGACACAAAGTCGCAAACGCCGCATTGAAAGTAGCTGCTTCTTCAATCTTGAAAGCCCCTATCCGAAAGACCAACCGCGCATCTGCTCGTACGTAATTCGCAAATGCTCCGTTCTCAGGTGTATCAGGATGCCAGCCATAGACACACCCACTGACCAAATCTCCAATCGAGATGTCTGGACGATCGATTGCTGCTTGTGAACCGATCTTCACTACTGTGCCAGCAAAATCACTGCCTCCAGTCGTTCCTGGGGAAGGAAAATGTAGGGGTAACTTGTAGTCGTAGGGATTCAATGCAACAGCTGCGACTTTGACCAGCACCGTGTCGGGTTGTAGTTCTGGAACAGGTGCATGGTGCTCGAGCTGAATTTTGCCACTCGCATCTTGTTTGACGGCTGCTTGGTGTGCCGGAATGGAGGGTTCGTTGGCCATCTGTATGATTGACAAGGAGGAACAGAATGATACTGTATCTGTATCTGTCTGTAGGTAGAGATGGAATCATCATCTACGGACCGCTTCATGATGATATGTGTGTTGAGCCACCCCCACTCCGGCATCATGATCAGGGCTAACAGATCGCAGGCAGTATCAGAACATGTAATATACATGTAATAGTCACCGGCTACCGCAGGAACATGGCAGGCATAAAGATTTGTCCCTGGCGAAAGCCAAGCTGAGCTGAGCTACCTCCTAGCATTCATCAGGGGTCAGGAGTAACCGTAGCTCTCTCGGGGTACTACCTACCCGATTGCTTGTCTGCTGGCAGTTTACAGTTCCAAGCCCACCAAAAACCAACAGCCAACGGTATCTGGGTTCTCAGATTGCGAATGTACAAGAGTTAGGCGCAATTCAAAACTTCCAACAGTGCTGGGGGCCTCCGTTCGATGCATAGGTAGGGATGCTTTCTGCAAGATTCCAAAAAACGACAGAGACGGCGTTCAGGAGACGTGATTCGAAACCCAAGAGTAATTTTTGTATTGAAAATCATAAATGATTGGTGATAGACAAATCGTGTCTCAAAAACTATCGAATAGCCCCCAACCTCCTAGTTGTCGTACATGTAAAACAATTTGGTTTCAATCGATCGTCGCGGAGGCAAAGCCTCCGTGCCAGGAAGATGGAAAGCACCATGAACTCTCATACTCTTGGAACTTCCATCGCTCACTTTCAACGCGTTGGTGTCGTAAAAGTTGATCATCAAAACCTCCTCGGGCTTCTGATTACTGATGTAAGCCCATTCCTGAGATGGTTCAGGATGAACCAGCATGTTCTCAAAGTAAAACTCGCCCATGGACTCATGGCCGAGCTGATGATACTTCCTGTGAAGACCGGTGTATTTGAAGTCTCGGTCAGGAGACAAGGAGAAAGCGACTGGGTCCCGTTCGACTTGATTGATGGGTTGCCAAAGAGTGGCGACACCATAGCGTGGACCCTCGTAGCCACTCCCATCCCAATCCCAGTGTCCCCCCTTGCCGTCTTTTTCAGCAGCAGGATCGATGCCGACTTTGCGCATGGCAGTCTCTTCGGCAGCAATAATCTTCTCGCGCAGAGCGAAAAAGGCGGCGCGATCCTCTTGGGCAATGTAGGAGTTGTTGAGGATTTCAAAGTAATCCGGAGTGCCCGCCGAACGCAAGAATGCACGAGATCCAGCGGGAGAAAAGTCGACGTGGGCAAGATGGAATGCCGTGGTACCAGAAGCAGTAGGGAACGCGACCTGCTTTTCTCCGACTTTGGTGTGAACCTCTCGAGGCACATCACGGACCAGATGGCCCCAAAGAATGCAATGCTTCAGGCCCAACTTCTCCTTGATGAAGTGTCCCAGCTGCTGACGGTAATTATTCTGCACATATTCGTGATCGTAGAGATTGCCTTGAATGACCGAAGTATCGGGCATGTGAAAGATTTGGATGCCGTCGTCGTCGTGGTTGTATTCAGACAATGGCTTGCTGAGGCTGCGGAGATCTTTCACTGGCTCGGTTTTGGTGATCAAGTACTTGTTTTTGCCCCAAAGCATCGTAGTATCATCGACATCTGGCTTCGGGCCATCATAGTAAGTGAAGATACCTTGAACGACATCTGGTTGTTTCTGCGTAGAGGACACTTCCTCGGTGATGGTCTGAGTAGTCATGATGTGAGAGGCTCAAGAGAACAAGCGTTGCAACCTACGCACTGTGAGGCTCAAGAGAACTGGCGTTACAACATATCTATTCACTAGGATGGTGTAGAAGTGATTGATATAGAGGGGCAGTGTCAGAAAGGGGCGAGAGATATACATCCTCAGAAGTCACAAGTAGCGAGGTAACAATCAGGGGGTACGGTATTGAACTTTCCTTAGTATGCGAAAAGTAACAGTACCTAGGACGGAGGGCCAAAGTAGCTGACTTTCACGAATGTACCGTATGTTCTGCTGTATACAAGAAATCCGCGAGAGGCGTAAGAGAAGGAGAGACGATAGGTAGATAGCAACGAAACATGTATACCTAGGTAGGAAAGTAATAGCGATATAGGGTTTTGTTGCAATAGTAATTTACTATAATATATAGCCAAACCAATATATATAGACGTATATGTCTTATATATAGCAATGTATATAGTATAATTATAAGACTTGGCTACTTTAGTAGTCTATCTAGTAGTAGTAGTACCTTATAAATTTTAAGCCTCTATATATAGAAATATAGCTAGATCTATATATTAACTTATTAAAAGTATTATATTATATAGACTAAATCTAGATAAACCTAAATATCTATATATACGCTTTATATATACTAAGTATAATAACTCTATACTAATAGCTATATATTTAAATAAGAGCTAGCTTCTACTAAGTAAATACTATATTCTAACTTTAGCTAGCTCTTATATATTAATAAAGTAATCTATAGATACTATTAGTAGACTAATTAAATAATAGTTAATTAGAAATATACTTAATTAGCTAGTAGAATATATTGTTAAGTAAACTACCTTTATAAGACAAATTAGTCTACTAGCTTACTTTTCTCTAGTTACTTCTATAGTATATTAATAGATAGCCTATCTTAGGTAGTATATCCTTTATTACTATAGATATATAGATATAAGAAGCCTTTAGCTATATTTTCCTTCTTAGTAACTAACTATATTGTCTTTAAATCCTATAACTAAGCTATAACTCCTAAGACTAATAAATTTGTATTCAAATATTATATATACTTAGTCTTCTTTCTTAGAATCTTATAAGACTATTATTCTACTATTAAATAGTCTATACTCTATAGATAGATTCTATTAATTCTATAGTTAACAATAGGAAAGACGAGTATATATACTTCTATAGTATATCGTATATCTAGAAAATAGCCTAAATAGATAGTTCTACTATATAGATAATAGATAAGTTAGTCCCTTTATTTATAGAGCTTTTTCTATATATATTTTTAGAAGTAGTAGATACAAGAAAATGGATTTACTAGCCTATCTAACTTGCTTTAGTAAGTCGTACAAAGCATTGATTAGGCTTGCTCGTAATCCCTGCCGTCATCGCGTAGCTCGAGATATCAGCCGGACAAGACAACAAGCGAAAGTTCCAAACAATCAAGGCCAGATAGAGTCTGAGCTCGACGTAGGCCAGCCTTCTTCCCCAGCAACCCCGCAAACCAAGACCAAAAGCAAGAGTAGGGCCAGCTGTCGGATCAAAGACCGGCTTTTCCGAGATGTTGCCAGACCCTGCCGGTGGTGAGAGTAGCCATCGTTCAGGATAGAATTGGGAAGGATGAAGAGCCGCCCACGAACGGGCGGGGGTCTTGGTGGTGTTGGCTCTGGAGGCGTGTGTTGCACTACGGAGACCCTGATCGATATCAAAGGGGGGACTGCGAATACTTGGACCTTGAGTCAACAGCAACACGGTGGTCCCTTTTGGGATGGCATGGCCGAGGATGTGCGTGTCGAGCATGGCTTCGCGATCGAGCCCAGGGGAAGTTCCACCACAGCGCAAAGTCTCCTCGATCACGGCGTCGAGATAGGGGGCATTCATGTCGAGTATCTCTTCCGCCGAAGGGATGCGACAGCCTTCCTTTGCTGCAGGACAGGCTTCGTGCAGGGCATGGCGCAGACGCTCCTGGGACTCAGGGTGATCAGCCAGGAATTTGACTGCCCAGGCCACAGTGGTGCTCGTGGTATCGTGGCCGCCGACGACGAAGCCAAACAGCTCCCCTCGCATGGCTGACGAGAAGTAGTCTGGCTTGCGGTCGAGTCTCTCTGCGAGCTGCCGCTCTCGCTGAACCATGTGGTCGACAGCACTTGAGACAGCATGCTTATCATCAGGATTCTGTGCCTTTGTCGCAGACTGGTCTTGTCGCTGCATCCGGGAGACGGCGTCTTGGATGGCTGACATGATATACTGGTCACGCACACGACGTGCGCGGCGCAAGGTTGGCGTCAGCGACAGCAACGCCCAGGTCAAAGTCATCGACAGTGTGCCTTGCACCTTTTCCACTGCCTCCGTAAGACCTAGGGTTGCATGGATAACATGATCCTGCACAGGCTCAGGGAACGTGATAGGGGCATCGATATCGTCGGACGGGCTGCTGCTGCTGATGCTGCTGATGCTGCTGATAGAGCCAGAGGCGGCACTCGTCAGCAGAGCATCGATCTTTGGCTTCGTGGCGCTGTGTGGCCAGTGTGGTCCGAACGCGAATCCAAAGACGGCGTCGAGGGCAGCATGGAAGATGTCTCGACCAGCATCAAAGGGTCGGCCGTGGGCATGCTGAGCCTTGAGCTCCCATAACCGCAGCAACTGGCAGGCCTGTACGTGGATGTTGGGCGCTGCCGCGTGCCGCAAAAAGCCCGGGGACATGAGGTCTTGCAGGATCCGGCGGTGCTCGCGGAATGTATCATTTGTGCGAAATATGATATGCGCATCTGGCAACGCTCCCGCTAGCAAGTCGCCCAGGAGCATTGATCGATCGAATTCTCGCGGACAACGACGCATCATAATGTCGCGGGCTTCTTCGTAATCGCCGACTATCACAACGGGCTTCTTGAGCGGGAGAAAAATCTGGATGATAGGAGAGTCGAGTGTTTGGAGTTGCCGCGTCACCCACTCCATCCAAGTGTCCTCTGTTCCTTTCAAATCTTGAAGCATATCAGCTCCATCGCCGAGTATGCTTTGTGCTCCTCGCCGACGATGAGGGATGCCAGGGATTGGCTTTGGAAGCATCCATTGCCGCAAGCAGAACAGAAGCACTGCTATCACGCCAGCAATCATGGCTGCTCCCATCGTCTGCGCGCTCATTGTTGGTCTTGTTGTCGTTGATCGATGATTTCGAAACGTGACGCTCCGTCTGCCAGAAACGCGAAGACGTAGTACCCTTTATCTTTTATATCATACCCTGCTCACGCAGCAACGAACAGCGCTTCCCTTGCTTCCGATGCCATCCTCCCGCGACTAGGGTGGTAGGAGGGGATGAGGATATGAACGCAGCTAGCCTTCCGAAGCGGATTTGGAAGCAACATGTACGTTTTTCATGACTCGAGGAAGAACATGAACATGGGGTCCGCATACCACAAACAGTCGACTTGGAAAACGAGCAAACGTGGACTAGCATTCATTGATCTACTGCTGCAAAAGCGCCAGGGCTATGGCGTCGGTCGCTGAAAGGTCTCCCCTATACGACATGCCCTGAAAGGTCTCCCCCCTATACGACATGCCCCTTTCAAGTAGCGACGCGCTGCAAGTACATGTCACAAATCTCGTTTGTTGAAAGCATTCGTCCCACGGTACTCGATGACTGTTTCGCGACTGCGGCCATCTCTTGCGCCTGTTGTTTCGCCAAGACAACGCCCATTTTCTCGAGAAGGATCCAACTGATGGCAGATTTCCCACTCTGACTGTTCACTCCAATAATGTCGCTCAGCGTGCATCCGGTGTCTGAGGGATCAAAAGGCAAATATGGCACCTGCCACGTAGGAAAATAGGGGGTTTCTATGCCGGCCGCTTGAGCTTCTGCACGAAGTCGAACCCCTTTTAGGATCGCATCTTGATGTCCACCACTGAATGCACGGAGACAATACTTGCCCGCATATGGCGCGCGTGGATGTACCGGAATTTGAGTGATCCGCTCGACGGTCCGTCTGATGTGATCCATGCGCGACATATCAAGTCCCGTTTCCAGGCCTTGCGTACGCATATTCAAAGCGAATGTGACGGTATCCATGTTCCCAGCACGTTCTCCATTCCCAAAAAGGCATCCTTCGACACGATCAGCACCAGCCAGGGCTCCCAGCTCCGCAGACGCAATGGCACAACCTCGATCATTATGCGTGTGTACGCTGAGCCGGATCTGATCTCTTCTCGAGAGATTTTGGTGCACATATTCCACTTGATCGGCAAACACGTGGGGTCCAATTGTCTCCATACTCGCCGCGAGAGTCAACATCAGATCTCTGTTCGCAGAAGGCTCCCATGCATCCGTAATCGCTTCTGCACATCGGAGAACAGCGTCGACTCGGGCATTGGAGAAATCTTCAAAGGCAAAATTATACGTCCACTCCGTCCCCTCGGATTGTGCGCTGTCCTTAGTGATTGATCGAGCATACGCCGTCATCTTTCGGGCTTGTTCAATCCATTCCTCTTCCGAGATCTGGAGAATCGTGTTTCTGTAGTTGTCACTGCTGGGGAGATATGTCTGCAGAATGACGCGCTTGATGCCTCGAAGAGCATCCGCAGCTCGTTTGATCGCATCTTCGCGACATAGAGTAATGACTTGGATCTGGACATCATCTGGAACCAGCCCAGGTGTTGTCGCGAGATGTCGTACAAAATCGAATTCAAGTTGGCTTGCAAGAGGGAATCCGACTTCAATCTCCTTGAATCCAATGTCCACGAGCAGATGATACATTTCCAACTTTTGCTCGAAGGTCTGATGTATCCCCAGTCAGTACGAATCGCCGTGCAAGATAGGGGGCAACATACCATCGGGTCTGGGAGGGCCTGATTTCCATCTCGAAGATCTGTACTGAAGATAACCGGAGCTTTCAACAGTCTCTTGTTGGGCCATTCGCGGCTTGTGTGATCGAAAGTTGTCGGCCGTGAAGTATACCTGGACTCCATTGCTTCGAGCGGTCAATGCTATTAATGCATGGTCTCTCAGCTTGCAAGTAGAAGAGAAAGCGGCTGTCAAAAAGCAGGGGGCAGACAAAAATTGGTCCCTGATGTCTGTTTCTTTCAGAATCCATCGATACTCCCTGCTATTATAAGTCCATGTTGCCGGTGGTTTCCGCGTATGACTGAACCTGCTGCACGGTACCCTCGTATAGGGGCGATACCATGCACAACGCCTCCATGTCATCGAGGCACCATGCTAGCAACTTCCTCCGCTCTCTGGTGGTATTGGCGGAAGGGAGCTCAGCGCTCAATGAAGTCTCCTCCCCGCGCCTCAGCCCGAATTAGCTTGAGACCCCCAATCTTCCGCTTGCTCACAGCCTGCACGAGACCGGCTGGAAGAGCCTTGAGTTGTCGAGAGGCTACAGATGCCAGGCAGTGCGAGCAGAATTTAAAAAGGAGGCTCGATGACGGGCGGTGCAGTGAACGACCAAACACATCCTACACGAATTGATCCGCACGACAACACGAAGAAATCAGGAGACTACCTCAGCAATATGATGAACTCTCAGCTTTGCCGCTCTGCGCTCACCATCTCGAGAGGAATTCACTCCAAGGGCGCAGCGTCCATTTTGCAGAGATCACTACATGCCAGCTCCTCCCTATCCGATCGAAATCCCACAAAGCACGAATGGTTGGTCTGGCTACCTGATCACGAAGGGGCTTTGCAGCGCAGACTCCAACATAGACCGTAAGTTCAAACAACACCTCCAAACACGCCTCGAACCACAACAAAAACAACAACAACGCCACATCCATCACCATCAAACCTACACCCCAAAAAAAAGAATCTCTCTCTCATCAAATCCTCCAGCCGCCATCTCTCCGAACTCTCCAACTACCCCTCTGACTTCCTCCTCTGGGGCGGACCCTATCTCCGCAAACCCGTCGTCAGCAGCAGTAGTACAAATAGCATCCAAGAACCTCTCGACATGTCCGGCTCCGTCCTCCTCGCGTGGGCCAACTCTCCCGAAGAAGTCAAAGATGTTCTGCAAAAGGATATTTTTACAAAGGAAAAAGTGTGGAATTGGGAGGAAATTAGAATTTTGCCGTTTAAGAGTACGGTGAGGAAGGCGATGTGATTGTGATGAGACTTTTTTCTTTTTTTTTGGAGAGGGAGTGGTGGGAGGGGGATAGGCGAGGACATCGACATCGTCGTCGTCGTGCAGACCTACAAGAAGTAAGATTGTTTTAGGGTTGGATTTTTTTTTTTTTTTTTTTTTTTTTTTTTTCTTTTTTTTGCCCGTGGCTAGTATGTGTACACGGAGTAGCGCGCTCGCCTTCTAAACAACCTATCAAACAACCTATCAATAAATGAATCAACGTACCTGTACCTCCTATATCCTCCAGAAAAGAAGACCTCCAATTTACCTACCTTAGGTTTTCGCTGCGCACAAAACTAAGTCCAATTCGATCTAGCTTCTTTTTTTCTGTTCTTCCCCTATTCTACGCGCTATCTATTATACCCCCTACAGCTCCAGTCTTTTCTCTCCTATCTTTTTTCAATAACACAATCCTCTCTCTATCTCTATATCTATCTCAGGTACATATCATATTCGTCCCTCCCTCCCCCGGAGATTCGGATACCTATTTCCTTCCCCGCTAACCAACCCCGCCTCCCTTTTCCCGAGAGTACCTAGGTACCGTATCCGAACTACCTATATCGTAAACACGTTAGCCGTAAACCCTTACCTACCTAGTCCTGCCTTCTTCTTCTCGATAAGAAAACAGAGAGAGAAAAGAAAAACGATTCTTCCTCGAGCTAGGTAGGTGAAGTACAACGAAACCACGAAACTAAAGCAAAAAGGTAAGATGTGCGCGGTAAGCGGACGGGCCGCTTCGGGTCGGAAGATCAAGTGTCAAGGTACCCTTTACTTCCGGTTGTCGGGATAAGTAAGGTATAGACGTGAGCTTCCTACTAGGTAGTAATGAGATACGAGGTACTACATGTACCTAGAGAGATGTGTGGAATCCTACGAGGGAGACGGAGTGAGGAGAGAGATTCGGAGCAGTTGGGTTTGAGGATCGGAAGATACATCCAAGTCAGTTGGAACTTCCCGAAACATACCTATACTTGGTCGGCCGAAAAGTCCGGTTGATGAGATGCAGATCAGGTAACCAAACGGTAAAGTCAGGTAGTAAGAACACAAGAGCAGTGCTCTCAACTCCCAACAACCCTATCGTGTTTGTTGAACTCGATTCAATAGGAAATCTTGAATGCCCACGCAAATTCATCTCCCTCTCTGACCTTCTCCGAGATCTGTAGAGTCAACATTCCGTCCTGCGACAATTCACTAGGAATGACCGTTCCGTGCAACTTTCCGCCGACGACAGTAATCTCATCACCAGTCACATACGGCACAGGCGAATGCAGCGTGAGAGTAGAGTTTGGCGGCTGAGTGGCGAGGATATAGAATGCGTCGGAAGTCTGGGTGAAGCGGACGGCGGGATTGCCTTTATCGACGGGACTGACAGACCAGAAGGTCGTGTTGAAGATGGCTTCGGAGTGAGATCGGATCCAGGAGCCTGCTACCCGTAGGTTGTGTTGCTGAATGTCGGGGATGATTCCTGTGATTGTCAAAGGGGCACGAGGTTTCAGCATATGAACCTGGACACATTGTTTTGATGATTGATGGCTTTCGAAACAGAGAGTGGATTTGAGGAATCTTTCACACGTACCTTCTGCAGTTGGTCCCACGTTGAGAAGGAAATTGCCATTCATCGATATAGCCTCAATCAGTCTCGTCACGATGACCTGTGGCTTCATGTATGCATCATCGGGCGTCGCTCTGTTGTAACCATAGCTGAATGGGTCCAGGCTACCGGTTCTCTCCCATTTCCGGTTGGCTTGTAAAGTGGTATACGTTGCAGTATCGAAATCGCCTTGGATCCCGCAGCGGTTGTTGATGGCGACTTGTCTGTCTTGCCTTCTGGCGTTGTTGAAGTAGCCAGCCGCGAACTCAGTCGTCACGTTCGGTCCACCAATGTCGCACCACATGAGATCCGTTCCCATTGCGGCCAATATTTGCATCTCAGGCAGTACCTACAACAATCAGAACAGTCGGCCACGAATCTCTCAGGTAGGAAGACTCCAACAGATACTCACCTTCTCTCTCAAGTAATCTGACAGAGGCACATATCCGAGATAAGGCAGTGTCTCGTTGGTGTATGGATTGGTCGCATTACCACCAGGCCAGTCTCCAAATCCGTGGTAGTCAGGGTGGAACCATTCTGGAGGGCTGTAGTATGCACCTTTGTATAGGTGCGGATGATAAGTACTTGCAGCATCGTACAACTCTTGGACAAGATCGCGGTGAGGAACCTGCGCAACGCTGGTCCTCATACTGATATTGCTTGGGAGATCAAAGAGGGCATACCCATCGTGTTGCTTTGCAGACAGTACGAAATAGTTTGCACCCGCGTCCGCGAACAAATCGACCCAATCCTTGGGATTGTATGCAGAAGCAGTCAGGTTCTGTATGAAGTCATCGAAGACTACGTTGGGGCCATAAGTCTCCAAGTGGTACTCGTACGTTCGCTCGCGAGTACTGTTGGGACCAGAGTTCATCCACCACCAATACCACTCTGCGAAGGACTCGATGTTCCCGGAATTGCCCCAACCGGGAACAGAATATGGCCCCCAGTGGATGAAGATGCCATATTTCCCGTTGTTGAACCAGTTGGGTGTCTCATGAGAGTAGATGCTCACTTCTGTCGGGCTGTAGTCATGGATACCGAAGGTTGCATTGAAATTATAGTTGATCGGAGGAATGCCTTTGCCAAAGACGACAAGTGTCGCAGTTTGCGGTTGTGGTGTTGCTGCCACTGCTGGTGTACTGTACACGGCAATCTGTACGCGAGTCTCGTCGCCAGGACGAAGGCGCTTGATTTGAGCTGGGCGTAACGTCTTGATCGCATCGCTGGTTCCTTGAACGATCACCTCCACTCCGTGTTCGGCGAGTACCCATTCCGTGCCCACATTGAGAATTATGGCTTCGAAGATCTGAAGGTCGGTCCCTTCGAACCAAGTATTCGTACTTCTAACCAGCTGCACCTGCAGTAAAGCCGTTCCAGATGTAATGGATGCAGGGACCATTGACACAGCAAAGATATGAAGCCTGGTGCTCTGAGCGACACCACCTGGTCCATTCGCAGCTCCGCCAACAACATTTGGCAATTGCACCTGATGTAGGTCCTTTGCACTATCGAGCCAGTTCACTGTGCGATATATGCTTGATTTGTTAAAGTCTCTGGTATGGTTCGTGAAATGAAAGGGGAATACCAGGTCACCGGCGTAGTGCCACGGCGAGAAAGCTGACGGCCAGGACCACCAGGGAAATGCTGTCAATCCAGAAGTTGCATTCGAGCCATCAACATAGTGTCCCGTGAGATTCGTCAGTACGAGGGCAGAATCTGTAGCGACGAGCATATGAACGGCGAGGTAGCGGCCGGGAGAAATATCGAGAATCTGGCCGCGAGCGAGCACATTGTCAAATCCGCCACCGGGCTGATACTGTGGGAAAATGAAGTCCACGCCACCGTACACCAACTTCTCGGCTGGGAGATACTGTGCTGGATATGCTCGGCCATAACCATCGAAATCTGCATCGCGAGGTTCCTGAGCAAACGCTCTGTTGTTTCGTAAGGGCGCAATGTCCAGAGGGACCGATGGAATACCGCCGTTTTGTCTAGGAGATTTCTTTGGGTCGATTACTAGCTCGGCGTGTGTTGTTGTTGATTGTGGGAAAATGAAGTCCACGCCACTGTATACAAAATTTTCAGCTGGAAGACACTGCGCAAGGTATTCTCGGCCATACATGTAGCCATGGAAATTTGGATCGCTAGGCTCCTGAGCAAACGCTTTGTTGTCTCGCAAAGGGGAAATATCCAGAGGGACAGAAGGAAAACTGCCGTTTTGTCCAGGAGATGTCTTTGTGTCAATGACTAGCTCGGCGTATGCTGATGCAAGAGGCCAACTGCCAAATAGTGCCCACAGAAATGGAAACATTGTGCAGTTGGGTATAGAGAGCCCGCGGGGCTGCAATCTGGATATTCATAGCGACAAAGAGATCGCCTGGCAGGCTGTGAGGTACTCGTAGGGAACAGTGACACCCCCTGTTTGGAAGAGCTCTCGTCAGATAAGCTGGAGTTCCCGAAATCTCAAGATCCATAGCTTGCTGGATGTTGTTCTTGGTATACGCTACATGTATCCTGTAGTTGATTTCTGTTGGAAAAAAGGAGCCGAAAGTTACCTGAATGACGGAGCTCCAATGTGGCCAACGGTTACAATCAGTCGCAACTTATGCATTAGGTACTTTCAGTAATCTAGGTATATAGAATATATAATACTTCTTCTAATTTACTACTTTAGTCTTTACCTACTTCTCGAATGCTTAACTTATACTCCTCTTCTCTCTTCTAGATATTTACTATAAATTTAATAACCTTTTCTAGTATCCTCTAAGCTTAATAAGGCTTTATCGTATATAGGCTCTAGTCCTACATTTAATTAATATGTCCTACGGGCCTGCCCGTTAGTAGTACGGAGTATATACTATAGGTAATATATCCTATAGGCCTGCCTGTTAGTAGTATAGTATCGGCTAATTTCTCTATATACGCGCGCGTACGCGCGCGCGTATATCTTTCGTCGTTTCTCTCTGCCTCTTCTTCCTACTCTTCTCCTTCTCCTTCTCCTTCTCCTTCTTCTTCTCTATCTCCTTATCCTTATCCTTATCCTTATCCTTATCTATTCCTTAGTCTCTATCCTTATCCTTATTCTTCTCTTCTCTTTGTTCTTCTTTGCTAAATTTTAGGTAGAGTAGCCTATAGAGACAGGTAGATAGGCAGTCTGCCTACCTACGGCGGGCTTTTTTTAAGATAGTAACGTATTAGGCCTAGTAGATTTAGCGCGCCCTACTACAAAGGATACGCTAATAGGAGATTCCTATAGGCGCTTCTAAGAATTTTGATTATACTATATACCTTTTACTAATTAATTAGTACTCTACTCCCCTTTATACCTAACCTACGCTATACTTCGGAAGGTTTAGAGGTCGTTCTATACTAATTACGCTATATCTATTGCTATATCTATTACTATATCTATTGCTATATCTATATTATAGTAGATCTATATTACGTAATATCTATATTATATAGTATCTATAATCTATTGTATAGTATCTATTGCTATATCTATATTGCGCTCTATCTAATACGCCGTACCTATCTCTACCTCTATCTCTATCTCTTAATTACGTAGAGACCTTATCTTAGTTCTTTTAGCTCTAAAAAGTAGGAAGGTAGTAGAAGGTAGAAATATAAGTAAGGAATACTACGTCGGTATATATATTCTACCTTATACAAGTTTTGCCTCCTACTATAATTTCTATAAATAATTTTTGCTCCTAATATATATAATTGCTCTACTATTGCTACTTTTAATTTTCTAGATACTTCTAAATAACTAAATCTCTCTTATATAATTTTTAATTTCTTAATCTAGTTAAGAAATATAGAGTAGTAGACTATATAGATACTTTCTAGAAATATAAGAAGAAAGCTTTAAAATTTAGAAGTTAGAAATAAGCTAGTTATAAATAGTACTTACTATTTATATCTTTATATCTTTATATATAGATCATTATATATATATATATATATATAGCTTCTTTATTATATATTTCTTGAAAGCTAAGAATATAAATCGTATTTAGTATTTAGCGTTTACTATCAAAGCTACTTAAATCTTTTATAAGTATAAAGAGATATTCTAGATTTTATAAGATAGAAGTGTACAAACAGTATACTAGATTAACGAGAATAAAGCTATAGGTAGCTATAGAGTAATAAGTATATTTATACCTCTAGATAAGTGTTACTACTATTTTCTTTTCTTTTTCTTTTTCTTTTGGAAAGAGAACTCCGAGTATAGGTAGAGAGCTACTTGCGATCTAGAAGAAATGTTCCAAAGGCAAGTAAGTTGTATTACAAGGCAAGGTTGTGTTGAACACCAAAGGAGATTTCCAAAGTTGGTCAAAAAGCGGAAGTACAGAGATTAAAAAAAAAAGACTTGTAAATGGAAGCGTATCGCTTCGCCAACACCGCATATTGAGGGAAACGTCGAGGAGGGTATCGAAAACGAAGAGAGCGAGCGCAAAGGTAGTCGTTTCACTGTAGCGTTATGTAGGTAGTCGAGCGCCTTCGAATCCGTACACAGCTTCAGGATCTGCGGAGGGTTCCTATCAAGTATGTTAGTGAGAAACGGTAGGAGGAGAGCCGCAGAGTGCAATGATTTGCTATCCTACATCACCACGACACAAACGCGAGACCATGTTCCAATCACTATGCTCGAATGCATCCATAGACCAGTAGAGCTCATTATATTCCCCAAAGCTACTGCTGTTGGGGACCACTGCAGGTGGCATCGAGGGCCTCTGAGGGACCGTATCAAAACAGTTGTCAAGCGGCATAGGATGATCATCGGCGCTTTCGTCGACAGAGCTTTCCGAAGTCCCGTCAACAAGTTGAAAGCCCTCCGGCCATTCCGCGCTATTCATCTCATCGCAGGCTGGCGACGAAAGTTGCGACGAGATTGGCACCGGCCTTAGTAAGGCCTCGATTGTTTCTTGGGATATGGTATCCATCCCGCATTGCACTTCAATGGTCATCTTTTCGAGTGGAAATCGATAACGGCTGAGGTCAACAGCATGATTCACGACCATAAAGGTTGCATCCCAAAGACAGCGTAGAATCCCGCTGTTCAGGCTGGCTAAGCGGTATACGAGATCTGCCCATAGGTCCATTTGTGGTGCAGTAAGCTTGCGGAGAAATGTGTCTGGAATCGCAGGCTGAAGCAATAGCACTACTTCGGGGGTTGGACCACGATCTGAGAAGCGACATATCTTTGCCCCAAAATGTATATCGCGTGTCATTCGGTTAAGAGCTGTGCGTGCGGTCCCTGTGAGGCTTCGAAGGTCTCCGGACTCTGTGAATTCGGGATAGCAACATCGAAAGAGGGTCTCTCGAAAGCCCCAACTCCGTGCATTCTGCGCTTTTGCTCGCTCGTTCAGACGGTACAAATTCGCAAGACAGAGCCGCTGACATAGCACTGCCTGGTTACCAATGGTTTTTGCCCGTTGACAAGATCTAAAGGTCTTCTCTGCCAGGGCCAGATCTGTGGCGGCCACCTCATCAGTGTAAGTGGGACTTTGTTGGGTCGTCAGCAATTCGGGAAGCTCGATGCGATTGCTAGATTCGGCGTCCAAGTGCTGACGCGCGAAGCGTAAGTATTCCTGGAGGCTCTTGATCGCTTGTAATGTTGTTGCTTCCTTGGCGTACTTGTACCAATGCTCTACCATAGACTCCGAGAGCGATATCCCTCGAGCTTGGGCCTCCGAGACTAGCCAAATCTTGGAATTGTCCGATGCCACGACTTCTGGACTTGGTGCGGGGCTCTCCAAGCCGACATTGATGCTCGATGCGAATTCCTTATTGTGCGTTGGAAAGGTGCATGTAGGTGTTGTGGGCGATAGATGACGGTGTTGCTGGCCATAGTTCGGCCCGGTTCCGGAGGCATCTTCAGTCTCAAGATGTGTGCCAAGCGACATAGTTGTGGTCGGGACATCCTCTAGTAGCACACTCACTGTCTCACAATCGGAGAACGTATTCCGCTGCATGTCAATTCCAGCTGTCGACCCCGGCACCATTCTCCGATTACTTACACCATAGCTGCCGCTTTCGTAGGCTCCAAGAGGGACAGTTTCGCTTGCATATTCCCCTACATGTCTCGCTTGATCAACCAAGTCTTCAGCTTCGAGCACATTTTCACTTCCCCATCTGCCGTGCGTGGTCCTGTGGAGCACCTCGCTCGTGTGCCCTTCGGCCTCAGCTTGGCCAATCTCATGACTCGAGTCGCGTTGCTCTATCAGCTGTCCATTATCTCGCTCCTCCTCATCTTCATCCCTACTTTCAAGAGGACCTGCATGCTCCTTCTCCGGTACACCGTGGTTAGGAGGCCTTGAATCTATCGTCTCGCTTTCGTTGTTCGCGCTGCAATACCGAATATCTGCGCCGGTGTAGCATGGGGTTGTCGACGCAGTGGCAATCGATTCGGTATTCAACACTCTCACGAGTCGTCTCGTATTTCCCGATGTTTGAACTGAACAGGAGCAAGTCGCACAGTGGGGAACCTGGAGTTTGGGGGATTCGGGGCTGTTCATAGGCGCAACTTGGTGAATATCGCCTTTAGAGAGGTTGGGAGAGAATTTCGGAGAGTGCAGTAGTACCTAGTGTCTAGAAACAGCTGCAGAAGGCAAAGTTAGGAGTTGATGTCCATTCTTCTTAAATCTATCTACGCTCCCTGCTATCAGTATATGTTGCCGGAGGTTTCCGAGTATAACAGTGGTTTCCGTATAAAACTTGACCCTTCCATACGGTGCTACTGTAGAGGTGAGGCACTGTAAACGGCAACTCAATGCCCGCGCTGGACTGCCGCGACTGTACACTGCGCGGGTGTCGTTCGGCGTGCCGAGCACGCTCGCCAACTGCACGAAAGTAGCGTGAAGAACGCCATCGATAACTTGGGGTACGCGCGTGCTACGAAGGCACCATGCTAGTGTTGAGACTGTTGGAACTTGGCGCTTAATTAGCCGGAAGAGAGAGGAGAAGTGCACTTGTAGATTAGGAGAAGAAAGGTATTGGAACTTCTACGTTCACACTTGGTCACGGTTAGTCAGCAACGTGGATAGTCAAAGAAACATGAAGTCTACCTACCTCCTACCTCCTACCTCCTACCTCCTAGCTGTAGAACAAGGTCAGGTATGATATAGGCGAGGAGTTTGGATTCACTGCCCGGAAGAGTGCTGATATAGAGGTCAAACTCATTCCTATGTGACAATTGATATCTTGCTCCTATTATCTCAAGAAGATACGACGCACAGGCGACTATAGTTAAGCGAGAACACTCTCATGTGCGTCGGTGGGTACGCAGACCATTCGACTTTATCTGTTAGACAACGTTCGGAGAATATGCATCCCCGCGTCTGAAGAGCGCCAATGACACTGGGCGTCACCAGCTACCTATAGTGCGAGAAGCCCCCCGGCTGCCTGTCCAATACCCGTATTCGCACCAGTCGGAACACTATCTCCAGAGTCATATCAGTAGTGCTGCGGATATCCTAGGCGGTTCAGGTACACCGGTTGCGTTAACGATCACAATAGACCTTCTTCAATGCCTGTCTCAGTGTTCCCGCTATCTACATCTTGGCCGGGCTTCCGCTGCAACAAGGTCCTGACATTGTCGAATGCCAAGGTCACAGCTAAGGACGATGAGCGTGTGCCATATCAGTCCAAGGCAGAGTCTAGCCAACGTTCAATACTACCATCTCTCTCTATACCGAGCCTTGACTGCGTGACATTCACATCTGTGCTGAAGGAGGGTAGAATCAGGAACAAGGTAGAAGTTGAAGTTGTGGCAGAAAGATCCGCAAGACTATTCTTAGCCAGCTGTATGCACCCCATCAATCTTGTAGCAGAGGGCTGCCGTATCGAATGGCAGACTGTAAGGCCGTCCTGTCTTCAGACTCATTCGGCTGTAGGCCTATGAGCATGATGCCCGCTTCTGCCCACATCCCCCTCTTTTCAGCTCCACGTCCTTATGTACTATAGGCTCTTGAAACAGGTCGTCACATCATGCATGGTCAAGTAGGAGCGAGCCCTCGCCGAGCTGACTCTTTCTCCTTCAACTCCCTTCCAATCGGATCTCCTGACTTCTGGCAGACTGCTTGTCACCGCTGCCCACTGTCGTCGGTTGCCTGTCTCGGTTTCACTCGGCATGCTTCGCCGGGAGCAGGGCATCGAATATGAGCCAGAGCGGCCTATGGGAATCGAGTTGCGAGGTGGACGATGGCAAGGCGAAGGAGCAAGTCTTCTAATGCCGTGGGGAAAAAGTGAAGGATACGAAAGATGGTATGATGGTGAAGGAGGTGAACGAGGCGAAGCTGGGGCACAGCCGGCCGGGATCTTTTCCTTTTCCGCTCATTTTGCCAAGGATACGCACTGCTTCGCGAAGCTTCTTCTCTTCTTCCCGTCTTCTTTTACCTCCTACCTCGTCCCGGCATGTTCAAGCATACCGCAGGAGGTAATCTGGCTACACGACACGTGAACATGGATTACAAAACCGACAGTCAGAATCCTCGTGAGCCTCGTGTCGCGCAGTAAGCTTTTCAGGCAAGAATAGGAGGAATCTGTTGGAGATCCGGCACGTCCGGACAGGCTTGTGCGGTGCAAGATTTATGAGATAGTAATGGTAAGGTATTGTCTACTCTGCCTCGAGCTGACTGATCTGCTCATGGAAACAGCTGCAGAGTCAGAGAACGAGCATCGCGAGCCTGGGACTCCAACTTGGCTGGAATACCTGAGCAGCGAGGCAGCAAAGACCACCTCCCCGAGCCTCGAAGCTGCACAGCCTCATAGTCCAGGTACTCGGGCTACCCCCGGACAAGTGTTCTCTCAATGCCTCATCCCACGGCTATATTGAACAATTACTGTATACAGTACATACATCAGGAGGTAAGCCGCAAGAGCCACACTGCCGATACGGGCAGGCCTTCGTATATGCGCAGCAGACATGCAGATTGCTCGATGCCCATCGGCTACTACTCACCTGCCCGAGATATATATATGTCTTGTAGGAGAACCTGAGTCCAGTGGCACACCATAAACACCGCAACCGCCTAGGAGAGATTCACTCGAAGCGAAAACACCATGTTCTTCAAGGCATTCTTCACTTTCGCTCTTCTCGGAGCCGGGGCTATTGCTATGCCCCAGTCCGAGAAAGACTCCAAATCCGACGACGCGAAGACCAATAATCTCAAGACCGACGATTCCACGAGCGCCAACTCGAATACAGATGACTCCAAGGCGTTGAGAGGTGGAGCCACCGACTGTGGCAACAACAACATTGGGTCGGGTAAATGGCAGCTCTACAACAACCCATGGGGAGCAGCCTATGGCAATGGAAGATCGTGTACTTCGGTGAGCTATGTCAATGGCAATGACATTGGCTTCAGTACAGCGTAAGAATGACAAATTGCCTACCTGTGATTCTCGAAAGCTCCACGACTGACAAAAGATGCTTTTACCCCACAGTTGGACTTGGGATCGCGGTACTGGCCAAGTGAAGTCTTATCCCAACGCCAAACAGTTTCACAATAATGTCAGCATCCGCAACCTTCGTTCTCTTGCGACTTCTGTAGACTGGAACCTGGGCTGCAACGAGCGTACCCCCGGTGCCAGTATTGTCTACGACATCTTCCTCAACTCCGGCGGCCGAAGGGTCGAAGTCATGGTGTGGCTCGGTGCACCAAGTGCGCACCCCATCGCGGGTAGCTACAACGGAGGCAAGCCCGTACCGACACTCAGCGGCGTCCGAGTGCGTGGAGACGGTTATACGTACGACTTGTTCATTGGACCTGGACCTGGAGTAGATGTATACTCTTTCGTGATCTCGGGTACCTTGCAGGAGAATGGTGGACGTTGGACAAAGCAGTACTCAAGCAATCTCGCCAATATTCTGAAGTTCCTGACTACGGACCGCAGACTGGGCAGAAAGCGTCTCAGTGTGCAGACCACACTCGAATCTTCTCAATTCGGTATCGAAACGACTGTAGGAACGAACTGCAAGTTCACGGTCAACAAGTTGTCGATTGCACAGGGTTGAGAGGAGGGCTGTGTGTCTAAAGACGATATGTGCAGCAGCCACTAGTCATTTCCTAACAGCACACGATCAGATTGATGAATTAATGACGCTCTCAGCTATACAGACAGACATTCAAGAATTGAAGATACCAAACCATGTGATGCCCGGGCAGCCGACAACGCTAACTTCATTCCATCTCCGCACTCTCAAGGTCACAGTTTTTCCAGACCGCTCCTCCAACCCCATCTGATTCGTTACAACCTCCTTCAACTAGGGATCTAGTATGTCGGAGCCGGGAGGAGGGAGGCCGTCCTTGACCCGGAAAAACCTGCTGTTATGATTGCCCATGTCCCATGCTTGCATTTGCATTGCGTTGCCAGATGACTTCCACGTGTGTGTTGGATTACCAGGATGAAGGCAAAAGCCGCAGGCAGGCAGGCAGGCTGCAGTATACGGACGGTAGGTACTTTGAGAAGTATTCCCCAAGTTGTTGCCGAGCGCAGACTTCTCCCCGCCCTCTCGTACGAGCGGAGATACAAAGTACTGATACAAAGGTAGGTAAGTCGGTATAGTCTAGTAGCTAAAAAGAGGCTTTCTCTCTCTCTCTCTCTCTCCCTCTCTCTTCACGCCTTAAGAAGGAATCCCTCGTATCGTACACTCGCCAGCCAACCAACCAACCAACCAACCAACCGAGCAGCCAGCTTTCTGCCTCGAAGCAAGCTAGAGTCTACAACAGTACCTACCTTACCTAGTATAAAAACCAGTAAAAGGCATCCATGAAAAAAAGCCAGGTAGGTAAAAAAAAGAAAGTTGATGAAAGACGCGTGGCGGACTAGAAAATGTACTGTACATGATCCTGGACTCCTCCTCCTGGCCATGTAATATACTGTAGGTAGGTAGGTAGGTACTACTAGGTAGGTTGGTAGGTACTGTATATAGGTACAAGTACAAGTACAAGTACAACTTGACAAGTACGTATGTATACATGTAGGAGGGTAGGCTTTTCGTGACAGGCAAGGTCCCTATTTCGCATTTTTTGATCAAGGAACATTGGAACAATATAAAAACAATTTGATATAGGAGAAACTTTGTTCCAGGTTTAGTTTAGAAATTCCTCCGGACTCCGGCGTTTGTTTCTGTTTGTAGCTTTTTTTTTTTGTATTATTATTATTATTATTGAGGCCGATGAGAGTTTTTTGGGGGGGGGTTATATTGAACCATCTCTCTATTGGAGAGTATATATACATAAGGTAGGTAAGGTAGTAGTTTTACCTGAATAACGGTGTGTATGTGTAACCTCCTAGACATCTCGAACAATAATCCCAACAACAACAACAACAACAACCAACAAAAAGAAGTCCACTCTCCTCGCTCCAAGCCAAAAAGAAAAACGAAAAAAAAGAAATACGAAAACTCCCTCGCATCCTCGATAACCGGGAGGTCCGTATCATACGGGTTCGGGGATTGAACAATTCCGTTTTCCATATATTGGTAGGTACAAGCATACCTTCCATAATCGTTGTATATCACTGCAGTGAGTTTTTCCATCAGCAGAAAAAAGAAGAAAAAAAAAGGGAAAACCCTTGCTCGTACTCGCTCAGACTCCTCACGCCGGCGCCCGCCGGACAAAAGTGGGCGCGATCGGAAGCAGAGTGTCGCCGGGCCGGTGTAAAGTAGTCGAGTCGGGCGGGTTGGAGGAGGAGGAGGTAAGGTCAGGTTCAGGTAAGGTAAAGGTAGGTTTGGGGGGGAAGTAAATAATAATGGCCGAGAAAACGGCCGGGTGAGAAAATTCAAATTTTAAAAAAGATAGAGCGCAGAGAGCGGAGGAAGGAGTAAACGTGGTGATACCCAGGCACGGTGGAACCGTGCTCGGTGCCTCCCTTGCACGGTGGCACCGAGGGAAGGTTCCACTAGGGTAGGGACCCACTATACCAATATATATTCTACCGGACAGGTACATAGCTTTCAGATCATCAGACATCCCCACTACGACTTGCTTTCCCCCTTACCTTCCCCCTTGTCTTCTCTGGTGGACGCTGTAGGAAGCGTTCCCAGTTCCCGGACCGCCGAAAGAGTATCCCCTTGCAAGGTGCTCGAGTACGCGAAGTCGCCGTTGTAAGGAGTCCTGTTCTGGAACCACCTTGGGGACCGGTCTTTACTAGCCCGGCCTTCCTCGGAGGAGCTCCAGACGGACGAGTAGCTTGCCGCTACGCAATACGGCGCACTAAGGTTCCGGGAGCTCAATCAGCGCCTCGGAAAGCCACCGAGAACCGCTGGGGACACCCTACGTTGCCTGCCGCCAATTCCCCCCAAAGTGCTCGACAAATCAGACCGTACGTTGTACGTGAAAGAGGTTGAGTTTGATCGGATTTGTACGGTGCAGCTAGGGAACGGGTCTACCGTGTGTAGATTTATACGGTGCTACAGGGCGACAGCTCCACGGAAGCGAGAAACACACCGCATCCACGACTTCCCCTACACGCGGATTACCCAAATCCACGGTATATCCACATCTGCACAAGTTTACCTCCCCCGGCACTCAAGGCCTGCAAGAGATCAGAGTTCATAAGCTGTCAAAACTGAGCGACGACTTCCATTGGCCGAACTGCACCTTCCCGGTCACAGATCGAGACTTCCATTAGTCGGACCGCACTTGCCCGCAAAGCTTCACGACACCTTCCGTAAGAGTTCATACCTTCCAGAAAACCATCGAACAATCGAGGCAAGTTCGTCGATACATATACCCAGAGTCTCCCGCCCTAAGACCAGAATTCTCAATCCTCCCAATCCTCTTATATCCGACGTTTCCTCACCTCATTCACACGGTGCATCCGAGACGCGGTGACACCAAGACACGGTGACACCAAGACACGGTGACACCAGCGTATGACACTACGCACACCGTTACCAGAAGTCACCCAACAAGCAAGTACGCTGGCCGAGGAGTTGCACTAGGCAGGATACAGCTCCGAGGATTTTCACACCCCTCAACGATCACCGTATCCGTACGTTCCCACTAAAGAAGAACGCTTGAGAGAACTGCTCGGACCCCAGACATTCGATTTAATCAAGACGCACTACCTTCAAGAGACCGCTCTAGCCACAATGAACGGTGCCGACGCCAAGCACACTGCTATGAATTCTGCCGGACCGCAAATCCCGTACTTCTTCGGGAAGAAGAAGGATGGGACGACACAGAATGGCACCCGTTGGCTTCGTAAGGTAGAGTTCGAGCTCGCTAAGCAGTACGCTAACCGCAGAGTACCTCCTATAGAGATGCTATCCGCTATAGATTCCTATCTGCAATTCGGCAGCGATGCCGAAGACTGGGCCGACCGTAACTAGATAGTGCGAAAGATTCTCTCTAACGAGAGCGTGTCCCAAGCTACCGAGAAAGACCTTCAAACATTTAAGAACCTCTTCCTCGGCCGGTACGGAAGACGCGATGTGGCAGATAAGTCCTCGCTGCCAAAGCTCCAGAAGCTACGCCAATCGCCGGACGAAACGTTGCTCGAGTACTACCACCGAGCGATAGATCTTCTTCTTAATTGTAGCGGGCAAGACCACGAGAACGGGTAAGATCTAAGCCCGCTCTATGTCACCTTCCTCTCTATAGCCATTGAGGCCTACCTCCGTAGAATCCATAACCCAGCCCTGATGATGAAATCGCTAGAGTACTGTACAGTCACGACTACCAGGTCGTTGTACGGAGCGTATAAGCACTCCGTCCTGCAACAGAAGCGCCTAGAGACAGAGCGCAAACTTGTGGACGTAATGATTGAGAACAAGAGACTGGAACTTATAGACGAGCTCATACTAGCACTGACCGTCAAAGATGGCCGATCAGATACGTTCCGAATCCCGGCAGACAAGATAGACGCCCTCAACCAGCTGAAAGACCTGTCTAGGCGAGACCCTTACCCGTTTGACCGTTACAAGCTCCGTGCGCTAACTATAGAAGTACCAGCAGTTCCTGTCCCGAACCAGAAGCTGCTTACCGCACACGGTGGACTGAGTTCGTTCGAGGAGATATTGGCCCTGTGTGACAAGTATGGCTATACGCTCCTCCCGAAACGCAATCAGCAGGGAAAAGGTAAGCGCGCCGCACCGGGCGCGAACCCAAATACGGCCTCTTAAGGTGCTGGCCCTAGTTATCAGCCCAGCACAGCGCCGGCAACACAGTAAGTTGCACCGACCCCAGTTGCAGCCGTACTACCGCCGCCGCTAGCCTCGGTGCTACCGAGCAACCCGACACCGAGCAACCCAACAACCAGCCGTACGTTCGATCGTAGGTTTGACCTAAAGACATCGCGAAACGAGTTCGTCAATGGTTCTCGCAAGTATGACCGCTCAATAGGATTCCTTTGTATCAAAGACGGCGTCTTGGGCTACAAGGCAGTCAAGGGTACCGAATGCCTAGGCAACCCTCCACCACTATCACGAGACGAACAGAATGTGCTCAAGAACGTGGTATTCGGAGATAATGCATAGTAGTCGGGAGTATCAGCGGGGTCTCAGGCGTTAGGGCCGAACGCGATCACCCTACCGGTACGGCGTACAGTCGGGTACGTCACTGACGACGGGGAATCGGACGTCGAAAGCGTGTATGATTCGTACAGGATATTCACGCCGGAAGACACCGAAGACGAAGCCCCTAAGCGCAAGGTAGCGTTTGCCAACGCCAACAGATTCTTCTTTGTCGACGAGGATGGCAACTAGGAACGAGTGGACTTCTACGCCAACCTGGGCGACAAGGTGTTAGGCGAAGAACTCACTAAGCTCTCGATGCCGGCCGTTCGCACCGAGCCGGGAAAGCATGTTCAGCGTTTCGACCCGATGGCCGGACGACCGGGCAAAGCACCGGAGGCACTAGGCGGAGCACTAGAAGCTCCAGAGCAACCTGACCGAGTCCACCGCCTACTGGGCATACACGACCTAATCGACCACGATGTCGACAACCCTATGGTGGAAGGCCCACCGCCGCCACCGGGATTTATCCCAATACTGCCGGCGGCTCCCAAGAAAAAGAAGAAGTCTCGGAAGGAGCTGTAACCCATTCAATATTACATGGAGCAAGGCCTAATCACGAGCAAGAGCCTGACCAAACGCATCTGGCAGCGCCAAAAGCTAAGTGTCGACCTATAGGAGATGTTCCAACTCTCACCGAAGTTCCGCGATGACACGATCACCCTAAGCAAAGCCCCGCGAGAGCCGCGAGGCAAGAACAAGAAAAAGCACGTTACTGAAGCATACCTCGGAGTCGGCGCCGATAACGAAGAGACTGAACCGACTATAAACCGCGAGATGCACAAGATTTCGAATGTGAGCGCGGTGAACCGTATGCCTTCAGACACCGAGGTCACCACGGACTTCCGAGCCCACTTGGGCAAGGAAGGCAAGTTATTCTCGGTCGCGGTCGAAGTGTAGAAGGACAAATCGTCTCGAAGGGTATCTATACCCTGTTACCTATCCTACGCCGACTAGGGCTCGGATCTGAATGTGATCTACATGCCGCTCGTCGAGAAGCTAGGGCTCCAATTGAGGAGTCTCGGCGAGATCGACTCGCGGCAGTTGTTCATAGGGGTAGCTAGTAGGGACACTGTACCGCTCCGCCACTGGGTGTATATCAATATATCCACGTATGGGATTTATCGTCGTACTTGGGCGGTGGTCGCACCGTCTACCACAGGCACCGAGAAGAGATGCCAACATCACCAATTGCTGCTCCTGCTTAGCATTCCGTGGCTCTACAGCGTGTATGCAATGATTGACATCCGGGAAGAGAGCCTATACATTGGTGACCCGAGCCGTAGGGAGACAAGGACCGAACTTGCGGTACCTACTATAGCGAAGGTGACCAAGGTTCTACCGGCACCGTAGTGCGAGACGGAATCAGACAGCGATAGCTCCGGCTCGGACTTAGAGTCTACGACCTCGGAGGATGATACCTCCGAGGAGGAAAACTGAGGAGTCCTTAGCAGGACGCAAAAAGGCTTGATGCGAACCTACAATTGGAGAGTATCAAGACCACATCAAACATTGCTAATACGACACAAGAACCATTATTTACACAAGTATAACCCGATCCTGCATTTATACAAGCATTACCGAACTTTGACAATAGCGACGAGTACGAGCCACCGAGCCCCACATTCGAAGAACTCTTACCAGAGCCCAAATCAAGACCACGGGTACTAGTACCTCGTCCGGCAGCGCCGACAATAACCGAGAAGACCCAAGAAGATACAGCAGTCCTGCTGGCTGCGGTGAAGCACAACCAGCTGTATTTTGAATGGAAGATCCAGGAGACGGCAGACCCGTCGGACCTGCTAGTACCTTATAGGTACGGCTTAAGGTTCTACTGCCTCAAGTACCCAGACCCAGACTGCCGTTCGGTCAACACGGTCCGACCAGCTACCGTGTTCGAGACAAAGACCACCGAGCCACCAAAACAACCATTTCCCGTAGAGCGACGAGTGGTCCGCCTGAACACCACAGACGTCCTAGGGCCTGAGGAAGTGGACGACTGGTTCAAGCACAGAGGGTTCCCAGCGGTTGGACTACTGGCGACGACCGAGGAGCAGAGGGACAAGGTAAAAGCCCTGCTATAGGTGTACCGGGACATCTTTGTAGACGATCTCAAGGACATCCCACCGATCGACCTCATACATCACCGGGTGCGACTCAAAGAGGGAACCCCGGTGCACAGTACAAAGCAGCGCAGATACGCCGGCCAGAAGGAGTACTGGCTTCGCCGTATTATCCAGGACGGGATCGATGCTGGCATGTACGAGAAAACGTTCTATGCGAACGGCAAGCTATCCGAATGGAATACGGCACCAATGATCGTACCGCGAGAGGGACAGGAGCAGCCTCGGTTGGTCTTTGACTACTATTGGGTATACGAAGACCAACCAGGCAACTGGATGCATAATCAGGAAGCAGTGCATAACTTCTTGTCAAATCCCTCTTACAAGTTGTACTTTCAATTCGACATCAAGCATGCCTATTGGTCGGTTCCCATACACCCGGACGATCGGTACCTGCTGGCGTTCTCGGTACTAGGAATGGGTCAATATCAACTAACGAGAATGCTACAGGGCGAACGGTCGGCGTCGTTCACTATGACCGAGCTGATGCACATCGCATTGGGAGCAATACTACCGCTAGACCCAGAACCCTCACTAATGTACGGCGGCGAACGACCAGACGTACAGCATTGTTCCGTATTTATAGATAATGGCTTCGGCGCAATAGGAGATAGCATTCCCGACGACCGCGTCTTTATTGAAGGATACGACTACCTCAAGGTGCACGTCCTGCCGCGACTACTATAGGCACAGATGAAGCTCTCTCCCAAAAAGATCCGGCTGTTTATAACAAAAATCTTCGCACTCGGCAGATAGTACTATCTGGGAGGCAGAATGATGATTAAAGAAGACGCCCTGAGAAGGATCAAGGAGTGGCCGACACCCCAGTCGCAAGAAAATATTCGCGAGTTCCTTGGCACCGTCCAGACCACGAAACGCTAGGTTAAAAATTTCTCCCAGGTAGCGCTCCCCCTTACTATACTCACCGGAAAGAAGGAGTTTGTCTAGACTTCGGTACAAGACCTGTCCTTCAACCTCCTGAAGCGACTGTGTTACACGGCAGCAGCAATGTTCGGACATAACCCGAAACTGCTATGCCGGATATATACGGACGCGTCCGGAGGGGGTGCCGGGATAGTCATTACCCAAATCCAGAATAGGGAAGAGAGGCCGCTCTGGTATAATTCGTTCAGGTTCACAAAGACCGAGCGAAATTACGACACCTACAAGAGGGAACTGTTGGTGATTTTTCGCGGAGCCATGAAGTTCAAACATTGGCTACAGGTAGAGCAAGTCTCCACCGTGTTTTGTGACCAGAAACCTCTAGAGGGATTCCTGAACTCTTATACCTACGAAGACATCTACTTCCGATAGGCACAGAAGCTCCGGATGCTCAACATCCGTTTCGAATGGATTGCTGGAAAAAAGAACGCAGCAGCCGACGGCCTCAGCCGAACGATTTTCGAGTTCGACGAGGACGAGTCGATAAAAGAGACGCCGATGATCAGAGATCTCGCCAATAAGGTTACCGTACATCCACTAGGCGATGAGTGGTATTGGAAGACTAGTAAGGGTAGCTACCAAGACAAGCTAAAACAACTTACAGCGAAGATGGTAAGAACTTACCAAGCACATAGTGTTGACACCGTGCTCTCTATTGGCTTCACTGACGAGGGTCCGTACCCATTGGGATGGACCAGCTTCTCCGTTACGACGACAAGCCAGCCGATGAAGAACACCGAACTTGAGAGATCCTTATGGTACGGTGACATGTACCGATATTGCACCACAGGAGAGCTCCCACCAGTGGACGCAGCCAAACGAGCGGCATTCAAGAGGCAATCAATGCATTACCGCTATAACGAAAGGAACGGTCGACTGTTGTACCAGAGGACCAAAACCTCTAAGTGGGCAGTGTGCCTCCTCCCAAGGGAGGTGGGTCCGCTGCTACAGCAGGTCCACGACGACAAGGGCCACTTTCATGCCGACATCACCATCAAGAAATTGTCAGGAGTCTACTGGCCAAACATCGCCAGTAACGTCCGAGAGTACATCCTTGGGTGCATCCAGTGCGCGAGGTATACCAACCGCACCAGGTCACAACCGCAGCAACCGATCGAGGTAATGGGACCGTGGCAGTTGTTTGGGATGGACTGGATTGGTCTATTCCCGGAGACTGCCCGGGGAAACAGGTACGTACTACACCTTATCGATTATTTCGACCGCATGTCCTTTACCTCTGCAGCACCAGGTTGCTCCGCGAGGGATACCGTAGATGGACTGGCGGCATATATTGCCTACTACCCGACCCCAGCGGCGATCTTCTGCGATCCGGGCAAGCACTACGTCGCGAAGGAAACTAGACAGTTCTGCAAGCTGAATGGCATCTACCTCGCGTACGCACTATCGGGAGCGTCGAGGCCAGTGGGGATGGTCGAGAAGGCTAATAACATCCTTCAGAAGACTATGATGAAGTCGGTAGCCATATTGATGGAAGCCGACTTGAGAGGATTCGTTGAGTCCTATCCAAATTGGGACCTCGATCTGGACAAGCGTACAAAGGATGTCAACTCTAGGTACATCTAGTACCTAGGCTACTCACCAGCAGAGATTGCCTTCGGGTACAAGCCGTCGGATATGCAACCGACAGAGTGGGCGTTGCCAACACCTTCCAAACAAGACCTCCTCGATTGGTTCACCGCACCAGACTTTGACATTCCGCGCGATTCCGAAATGGCACTACTGGTGTATACGTTTATGGCTAGGAGGCAAGGAGTCCTGGAGGACGTCCAAGAGCGAGATAACACTCGGCGCGACCGGCAGAAGACCCGGTACGACGCCGGTGTAAGTGGGCAGACATTCTACCCAGGGCAAGCCGTAATGTTGGAAGATACCTCTAATAAAGGGAAGAGAGAGAAGCTTATACCTACCTTCCGAGGGCCGTTTGTTGTCACTGGCTATAGGGGTGACCATCAAAGATCGTACACATTGAGACAGATCAATAGCAAGAAGATCCGAGGGCATTTCCACGGTGACCATCTTCACCTCTTCCAACCAAGGCACTCCCACCTTGTGCCACCAATCGAGGCCACCGTGCCCGAATACTAGCTACTCCGACGCAAACGAAAGCCGGGCGCTGGAAAGGACGCAACAGCCTAGCCGGGCTGGAGCGGTGACGCAGTATCATTCCGAAGATATGCAATTCAACGCACGGTGCGACCGTGTAGACATCCTACCTTGTAGGAATTCAGCATTTCTTTCGACACAAGCGAACGTAGTGGAATGTGACAGAACGCGACGTTGCTGGGCGACCACAATGGAGCGAGTGCAAACATTCCACAAAAGCGCGTCGCACACAAACACAGTAACAACCCACAAAAACATTGCTTGCCGCGACACACGTCCATCATCACACCAGCAGACACACGTCCATTATTACACCAGCAGACACCGTTACGCCAACATTAGATCCACCGTTACACACACATTCACGCGTTTGACACCCGCATCTACTACATATACGCTTAACACCGCACTATATAGACGTGCCCCCAGTCGCAGACATAAGGGTTACGCTCGTTGCTGAACGTAAGGACGGAGGAGGCCGTGCAACACTACTACACGGTCGACAGGACTACGGTCCTACTACCTATAAGGCCCTCCTAGACGAGCATTCGTAGTACTATACTAAGATGACGGACCGACTTGATAACGCGGGATAGGCAGACTAAGACCCAATACCCGAAATGCCTAAGTAGTTTCGGAGAGTAACTGAGGATGGTGCTGATACTAAGGGCGTCGTCGTGGGTCACCTCCGGGTGTATACCCCCCAAGTTTGGGAGGCTATGGTCGCATACCGCAAGGGTTACTATAAGCACCTTACTCGCATCCCTCCTGCCGACGAATCCTGGTACGAGTTCAAGGTTTTCTTGAAAATCTACATGTTGACAAAGTACAACTACTTACCCGCGGTAGATCCAATTTTGATAGGAGTTACCGAGCTTGATGCAGTGTACGACTTCACCGTCCAGAAGTCGTTGCCAATCAGACCTGCATAGCTGGAGGGTAAATACGGCCGGAACTCCAATACTAGCGTCCTTATCAACATGGTCGCCGGTGAGGCTATTCCAGTAGAGGACACTTTGACACGAGCCGATTTGCTTCAACTCCGAGTAACCATTAACGGCAAACGACATCTGCAGCCAGGATTTGACCTGGAAACCTATAACCAGGTCACCCAGTAGGACTACGCAGACTACGGAACGCTTATAAGGACGACGATCGACGGCGCGGTAATCCCCAGACTAGAGTACCCGGGAACCTGGAACATCGAGCCACCGGCCAGACTTCCGGGACTAGTTCAGTACTACGGTACACAGGAAGGGGTAATACTACTACGACCCGGGGTTCTCCAGACCAAGGGAGTGATGCACTATTACATAGGAATTGAGAATGGCCAGGAGGTGGACCCGGTGGCATTCGATCCCTTTAAGGGTAGGGAGCGGACGAGGAACGCACCGAGCGAACTAGCAGGCAGGAAATTCGACGAACATCTACGATCGAAGCCGCAGAACGACGTTACCATCCTCCGCTAGACGCCCGAGCAAAACAACATCTCGTACCTACAAGTACCCGAGACTGCGGGCCCCTTCTACGATCCTACCAAGCCGCAGATCCTCCGTGGAGAGTACCTCGGCCTGTACGAAGCGCTACGAGACAAAAAGATACTGGTGCCTTTCTTCGGTAAGAAGAATACGAATCTCGAAGGGAAGCCAAGGACTGGGTTTCCGGCTTTCTACTAGACTGAAGGAGTCGGCAAGTCGGTGATCAAAGATAGCCAGGGCCAGTACACCGTAGGCCACACTATGGAAATCTCGGCGCAGGCCAAAGCAGAGCTCGTAAGGCAGGCAATTGAACGCGTTCGAGAATTTGAAGCTCGAAACTCCTGAGCAAACGGGGCCGTACAAGCGACCGCATATATACGAGCTTACGGCGAATTTCAGGCATTCCGCGAGGAAGCACATCTTTACCTATGCAACGCGGAGCTTATCGTCGGATCCAAGATGCTAGCCTACCGTTTTGACGGCGGTCAAATGAGCCGGCAGGACCGAGCAAAGCACTTTGTTCAGTACACCGAACTAGTGTACGACGAGAAGCCGCCACTAGGAGCCATTGCACCGTTTGTCTATAGCCTCTAGCACATCTGGAGAGATTGCTACCCCTAGTACCGAAGCACCGAGGTTACCTGGTAGAGTTCCATCCAGCACCTGCTACAACTGCTCATCGCCTATCCGAAGGCCGGCATTACCGGGTACGATTTTTCGGACGGATGGAAGCTAAAAGGCGGGCAACTCGATTCCCAATTCCCGGAGACGGGGTTGGACATGCTCATCTTCGATGTCGAGGCGTAGCTCAACGATGGCTCAATTGACACCTTCGCAAATTGGTACATAGCTGGGAACCGCTCGCAGGAAGACCCGTTCATCCTAAGAATCGTCCGCGCAGACAAGGTCACTACGCTTACCGACCAACAATAGTACTTGGTGTACCGGGACGGATACCGCATAGTATCCGAAATTCCTCGGTACGCTGAAGAAACGATCAAGGCGTAGAGGGACAACCGGCTTCCGAAGTCGATGACGGGTATGAGATCCGGAACCAACGACGACCTCACTAGTACATACGACGACGACGATGACTATCGCATAGACGATGCCCCTCCCCCGACAGCACCAACCCCGGCGATTGGGGATCTTTTTCTCCGAAGCCCAAACCCGGAGCGCACTACGGTGCACATCGGCAGTTTATTTCAGAAAGCACAGCCAGATACGACCTTACCAGAGGTACCAGCCCGATAGCGAGTATGGATGGAGATTGACGTAGAGAAGGTCGCCGATGCTATAAAGGCCGTGTCGCCGTTCCTCTATCTACCAGCATTCAGACCAGGCCTGCCTTATGTCTACCGTCCAACGGTATTCGACCGAGCGACCGGGCGAGCAGAAGCTACGTTGGTGACCCAACTGGTAGAGAAGTCGGGTCCTAGAGCAATAAAGGTTCTGGGACAAGGATTTGCACGGCTGGGATACCAGAGCATACCCGAGTTCATTAGCGAAGCCCTCCAACACGGGATGGAGATGGTAAATGCAATGGTGGACCTTATGCTAGAAATCCCGACCCGCATGCCGAGACCTATGTGGGAAATCTTTGGCCCCGTCCAATCATTCACTGCAAATACACTACCGACGGCAGAGCAAGCGACCACTATCCTCGAGAACCTCGGACCGGTAGACCGCACTGTGTTCGATAGATAGTACCGTAAGGAGATGGACGTCCGCTATACGGTGCTAACGGACGGAACAATGTCCAACACGGATTGGCTGATACGTAACCTAGACCTCGCGACGCAATGGGCCGTGAAGATAGCAGACGCGTACCACAAGGTCAAAGGGGACAGAACCCAGATGGTGTTCTTAGGAGACCAGACCGTAGCATCGCTGCTACAGATTGTGGCGCGAGGCTACACAAACCCAGAACCCGCCCACCCAGAACCCGCCCGCCTAGAACCCCAAACACCCATTCGGACGAAGCAACAAGCGCCGCAACGCTTTACACCCCGGACGCCGGCGATCAAGGCAGAGGCTAACCTATACCAATGGATCAGGAACCAGTCCCCGAGATCTCCGATGCCTACAATAGTTTACCGTACCAGAGTATTTACAGAGCTCCGCAAGATGACACTCCGAGAGGCAGAATACCTCTGCAAGGTAGCTAACGAAGCGGGCGATGGATTGATGCACGGCACGGGAGTCCGCGTAGGGCTGTGGTCCGAAAATGACCCTGTACAACTACAGAGTCTAACAGACTGGGTAGATTAGGTAGGACAAACGCTGCTAGCCTAGCACTATAGGAAGGAACAGCCGGCCCCAGTTGACCTGACGATGGCAAAGACGAGACCAACTAGGACGACAACACCTACGAAGCTACAGACGCCTACTACGTACCGACAGCTGAGGTCGGTAACAAGTACTCCTACTACCTAGCGCAGAGTCCGCACGACACCCTCTACGCGCAGAACCCGCGACGACAGCCTCCGGGAGAACGAGAGAGACAGATCCAGGTCCCCGAGACGTGAGTCGGCAGAAGGACGCGGTCCACAAGGACCCAGCCAGACGGTCCGCGTAAACAGGACGATGCCTCCGGGCACGCCGACAGCCGCTACGCGGACGAAGCTACTAGAACGCCTGAACACTGTTAGGGAAACATTGAATGCCACGCCAGATATACGACGAGTAGCAAACGCGGACGGGTACATCCAAGCATAGCTGGCCTAACTTCAGACTTATGCGACCTTCGCCGACACAGCCCGATTCGAGACTGTACGGATGGAGCTAGAGGCCCGCCTTACGGAGAATCTAGGGTACCGAGTGCCAGATCTTTGAAAACTGCCGGCCGGGAGGGGGCGCGACGCGACGCGCGACGCGACCGTCGCACGGTGCGACCGATCGACCAACTGAGCGACCAATACATAGTGCAACCGAGGCACGGTGCGACCGACACAAGCCGCGACCGAGACGATCACACCCAACAGTCTTACCAAAACACACACAACTACGGGACCTACACTACCTTTTCCTTTGTCGCACGCATGCACCTTTTCCCCTTATTATACACGGATTCCACGAGTATACTAGAAACCCTACTATGGAAACGCGACAAAATGCACTCGGAATTCACTAAGAAAAGGCTCGTAAAGAACCGTCGCGCAAGTCAGTACCGATTATACCAAGTTCGTAGTTAGGACCGTATCAGTCAGCTACGGGGACGCCTAAGTAGACGGAAGGACAGGAGATCCAATGACAAGGGCAACTTGGCGATAACGTACGACGACGCACGGTACGATGGAATTCCGATTGCACTAGGGAAGCGAACCACCAAATGGACTACCTACCGCGCACACTCGTTGACATACACCTTTCGCTGCATATGATGGATTGCAAACGTAGGCGTAAAGGGAGGATTTCGGTCGTAGGCGACCGACTTCCGGCCCCCCTAGCAGAGAGCGGAGGAAGGAGTAAACGTGGTGATACCCAGGCACGGTGGAACCGTGCTCGGTGCCTCCCTTGCACGGTGGCACCGAGGGAAGGTTCTACTAGGGTAGGGACCCACTATACCAATATATATTCTACCGGACAGGTACATAGCTTTCAGATCATCAGACATCCCCACTACGACTTGCTTTCCCCCTTACCTTCCCCCTTGTCTTCTCTAGCGCGGACAGCGGACAGCTCGCCCGGGGGAGGGAGGAGAGGGGGAGAGGGGGGTGTTTTTGGTGTTTTGGGGGTATATCGCCGAAAAGGCAATATCCGGGCTAGGGGGGCTGGCCACGCACCCGGGCTACCGCTGTACGGTGTACGGTGTACGGCGTACGGTGTACCTCCTCCCACTGTGTATGTCTGTACTCTGTAATAACAAGCCTTGTAAGGTACGGAGGTAGTAGGTATTCATCACAGTTGATCACACATTGGAGAAAAGCTGCTTGCTTGCTTGCTTCGGCCTAGAACGTGGTCGATCGACCATCCGCAGACTTCCTTGCAGAGCGGAGCGGAAAGAGAAGAAAAAAAAAAGATTAAATTGCTTATCTGGCCGGCAAGATCCTTGACCCGACGACACGTTTTCTGCTGCGACCACCAACACCGGTCAGAGTGTGAGGTATGATGAATGACAAGACTTTTGTCTTGGCTCACGCAAGATCGCGAAGCTTGGCTTTCCAACCAGAAGATTTGACATCACATACATGCCTATAGGGGAGGGGATACCTGACCTCTTGATGTGATTGTATACGTCTTTAACATCTGTACACGGCTGACTGTTACTTGTCGCTTGCGAATGGTATATATCGCATGGCTATGAGCTTGATGCCTCCTCCGTTGTATAGCTCTCTCTCTCTCACTCAGGTCTCTGTCACACACTCATACTCACTTTCAGCAATGAAAACTGCAATTCAAGATGGCTGTACTGAGCATCATCGATCGGTCACCAGGGAGCTGCCTTCAAGGTTTCTTCGTTCGATATAATGCTGGTCAGCCTCATCACATTTGAGGGGTCCAGAGGGGACTCCAGAAGCTCAGTATGAGCGGGGGGGCATCGGAGCAGACCGACCCCTGAGATTCCAATATTCCAGCGCGTGACCTCCAACAGACCTCATCTTGTACCGTCTAGGGACAACGTCCCAAGTACGACAGGTCATGTCATGGATAGACAGCAGTCGGGGAATGGTGGTGCGTTGTCAATGGTGCCATCGTTCAAGGAATGGCCAATAGTATTCATTCATCATTGCCCAATTGAGGCAAGTGTCTGTCACATCTGCACAAACGAAGCAGCTCGCAAGCCGCTGTTCATCATAGTCGCTCGCATCCAAAGAAAAAAAATGAAAACAGAAAGAAAAAAGAAAAAACCAAGAAAACTCGCTAATAATCAAAACACAAAAATCTTCTCTGCAATATTCTCAAACATTTCCCACCAGGTTGCCTCGAAATTTCCCTTTGTCCACGTCGCCCATAGAAATTGCTCCAATACCACCATGCCTCCAAAGGATAGGTAGGAGACTGTCGGTGATAGTGCACTGGAGATGGCCAATTGGTGACTCGTCTCAATACAATGCGCCCCGATAATCGTCATGGGTAGCACGAGACAGTGCTGCAGCATGCCGGAAAAGCAGTGTGAGGTCAGCATGGAAACGGCATGCTGCGTGTATTGTTGTACGGTAGGGTCGTTGACCTCTCGAAGTCGTATTGCTCGTTCGTAGAAGATGCGAGCGGAGATGTCGAACAATTCGCAAAAGGCAGTCCAATCGTCTTTCCGGTGTGCACCATTCGCACCGCCGCCGCCGCCGCCGCCGCCGCCATTCTCCACTAGTCCTTGGCGATAGTCAAAGCGTGCTCCCAGCGGAGGACTGAGAGTGTCGCCGAAGAAAGCCATGCGCTTTCGAGTCTCTTGGAGGCCGTACGTCTTGACAATGGAATATACCATGTTGCTGCGCGCTGCCAACAGGCACAAGTTTTCCCAGGTCATCAGAAAGCTATTGTCGGGCTCCAGACAGCCCCACCACGTCTCCGTATTGGCCATCATACGGAATATTGTAGGCTCGAAATATGATTTGCATCCGCTCAATACGGCGTGCACAATGTCCAAGGTGGCAAACACGGAGAGCAGATGCGACTGGATCCCGCCTTCACAAATCATGCGAGGAACGATACACTTCCATTGGTCCAAGATGGCATATCCGCCTTTCAGATGGACGGTGGATGCGTTTGCTTCCTGTGTGGGTTCAATCATGCCATCCAACATGCAAAACAGGACATTTGTCGCCAACAAGTCCGGAGCAGCGTCCTCACTCATATTGGATGCCAGCTGTCTGCGAAAGGTTTGAATGGCCATTTGACGTGATCTGCTCCGTGCCAGTGCCGATCCATGCTTGCCTTGCATATCAAAGTGTGCTCGAGCGATGGCCATGACTGCTCCTTGGACGGCGTCCACTGCCAGCAGCGCGTGAAGGTCCAATGACAGGACAAAGTCCCCGAGGCAGTATCGTGGTAGGACAATGTTGATGAAGTAGGGCACCAGCATCTGGTCGTCAATGGGTGAGGCCAGAGCCACTGGTGATCCCAAGGCAGTCGTCTCGGCCGACACTGGCGCTGGCGCTGGTCCTAGGGCTGGGGCTGGTGCTGGTGGTGGTACTGCTGCTGCTGCTGCTGCTGCTGCTGGTACTGCTGCTGGTACTGCTGCTGGTGCCGGTGCCGGTACTGCTGATACTGCCTCCACTGGCGCCGAGGAAGTCCGACAGCCACGTCTCGGCGGTGATGGGCACGCCGGCGCGTCGTCCGTCGAGCTGGCGGTAGAGTGCGGAGTGGAGGAGCCTGAGCACTCGGAGGAGCGGGACTGGGGAGCATGCCGACCTCGACGCGCCATGCCGCCCACCCAACGGTACGGCGGAGCGGCGCCATAGTCACAGTCCTGGCGGGCCTCGTCACACCGTCTACACGTCGGCTTGGCCAGATCGCACTTCACTCGTTTGGTCTTACAACTCCAGCACGATCCTTCGACCACCCGAGGCCGCCGAGGGAGAGACGACTGCATATTCTGATATAGCTTCAGCCGCGCAATAGGGGCATTGCGGTGGCAAACAAGCGGTCATGACGTCCCACGCCACGAGCGCGCCAGCACCAGATATGTATAATAACCAGACCCGGTAGGCTCGTGCAGTCTGGTCGACGGGTTAGCAGCAATAGTAACAACAGCCGCAACAACAACAACATCCGCAGCAACAACAACAACAACAACAACAACAACAACAACAACAACAGCTACCACTACTGCTACTGCTACTGCTACTGCTACTACTACTGGTGCATGCAGATCGGGGCTGGAAGTCTCCGAGACCTGGACTCAGGTACGTACCCGCCTAGGTGCGAACCTAATAAGTGCTCCCCCGGTCTTCGTTTGTCGGCACATTATTGGCATCCATGTCTGAAGAAAAGTGTAAGGGCATTCCACAGGCAAGAGTCAAGGAGCAGGACACTTTCAAAGGACACTCGGAAGCTTAGTAAGCCTCGGCGCGGATTAACCTCCGCTCCGGTGAACCTCCTATACTTTATACCTATCTCCTACCTACCTACGCTTACGGAGGTATACTAGGCAATATAGATATATACCTAGGTAATATACTAGGTACCTATATCCTACGGGCCTACCTAATATATCCTATAGGCCTGCCCGTTAGTAGTACGGAGTGCGTACCAATTTCAATGTTTATAGTATATATATTCTATCTCTCTATCGCTATATCGCTCTCTCTATCGCTGTCTCTCTATCGCTGTCTCTCTATTACTTTCTCTCTTCTTAGGCTTCTTCCTAGGCTTCTTCCTAGGCTTCTTCCTAGGCTTCTTTCTAGGCTTCTTCGTAGGCTTCTTCGTAGGCTTCTTCGTAGGCTTCTTCGTAGGCTTCTTCGTAGGCTTCTTTATAGGCTTCTTCGTAGGCTTCTTCGTAGGCTTCTCTATTTTTCCTAGGTATTTCTATCTCTATCGGGCGTCTTCTTCTCGGGCGGGTAGGCGTCTTCTTCTCGGGTAGGCGTCTTCTCCTTCCTCCCGGGCTTCTTCTTCCCGGGCTTCCTACTTCCTAGGTATCTCTATCTCTATCTCTATCTCTACCTCTACCTCCTCCTCCTCCTCCTCCTCCTCCTCCTTGTCCTCCTCCTCCTTATCCTTGTCCTTGTCCTTAGGCTTCTCTTCTTCTCGTCCTTCTCTTTTGAAATTTAGGCAAAGTAGCCCGTAGGGGGATAGATAGGTAGGTAGGTAGGTAGGTAGGTAGGCAGGTAGGTAGGTAGGTAGGCAGGTAGGTAGGTAGGTAGGTATATGTAGGAAGTATTCAAGGCTAGCCGGAGCGGAGGTTAATCCGCGCCGAGGCTTACTAAGCTTCCGAGTGTCCTTTGAAAGTGTCCTGCTCCTTGACTCTTGCATTCCACAGTACGCCGCGGAAAGGCGTCTCCACTTCCGCTAGATTTCTGTTTTGACGACACCTCCCTTTTTCTCCCTCTTTGCTGGTGCAATCTTTCGAAATAGGAGCGTACCTATTCACTTGCAGAGTGACTTTCGATCCCTCCCCCCCGTCATATTGCGACGCCTCCACCCCCCCATGCACACTCCGAGATCAACACTGCAGTGGCATTGGATGGAATGACCCTGGAGAGCTGAGTCCTCTACCGACACATGATCGAGACTCCGTGCACTCGGGCGAGGCTTCGGCTTCCAGGATGTGTGTCTACCAACAGACTGCATGTGAACAGATGCGATGCGCAACCAGTGCACCACCGCTGCAGCGGCAATCGAAGCACGACCATACCATACCCTCTTCAGACGCCGACAGATAAAACAAAAAATAACCCCCCCCCCCTCCCCGATCTCGCTATGCTTCCAACCAAACACGGCTCCGAAGGCGTGACCAGCTAGTCTCAGCTGAAAGCTACTGTAGCTCAGATAGGGCCATGACATGGGGAGGTTGTGTTCCAACAACCTAATCAACAGCTTGTATCAGGGGCACCCGCGAACGTCTCGCAGCCACGCCTACATGTCCCGATGAATGAACTGAGAGTTGGAGAATCAAGGTTCGAACACTACAGACCCAGCAGCAATGATAATGTTCTTCCCGGCAGTGCTCTCGCGAGCGGTCTAAAGCATGCCGAAGGCCACGCACCTGGCGCTGCCGTCCGTCACCAAGTCCGTCTGTTGAGAGATAGACTGCATGTTTTTTACGATGGAAGCCGATTGGGGGGGTGGTGGTCTGACCTAGGGTGACTTTTTTGCTATCATGTGCATCTGCCAAGAAGCAGCGGTCTAGCACAGTACGATGATAGCAGCGACCCCCCCGGGCGGACGAGCGATTCGTACACTCCTCCGCACGCTCGGCCGGCCGTGCTCTCATAATAGAAAGTGTATAGTAAGTCTCATCAAAAGGATGGCTCCTCCTAGTGCTAATTCTGTTTGTTGCGTGGCATCGATCACACAGAGGGGTATAGGATGGTTAGGGTTAAATTCGCGAGAATTAGTCATTGGACATGTCGTTCACACACACACAAGCTGATGATCAGTAGTCTGTGCAAGGACGCTCGAAATGGGAGTCGGCTTGGGTTAGCTGGGATACATTAATGGGCCGGCCACCGAAACCCCTGCTTAGCAGATGGACGACCCGGTGAATTGGTCAACCAAGCCAAGGTTTTGAGCAGGTTAGACTTCAGCAGCACAGCCAGCAGCAGTAGTAGCAGCACTGCAGCCAGCAGCCAGCACAAGGAGAGACAGTGCCCTTTTTTTGTGTGTGGAGGCTGATGAGCGATCCAAAACAACCTTGAATGACAAGCTTTCTTCGGCGACCCATCTAGAACCGGTCATCCGCGACTGACCGCACTCTCTACTACTATACATGTATCTTTCTATATCTGGAAACTCGCAATAGAGCAACCTCGCACGCAGCACAGGGGGGGTACATTCTCGATACCATATCCCAGAAGTCACTAGAAGCTTGGAAGCAGCAAGAAAATAAGCAACATTGAGCGAGCGTCGATTGGATCAGCGGGTTGTTGTTGTCTACGGCCTCCCACAACCTGGACAATACATCCTCGACAGAAACGACCATACCGGTGGCCGCGAGAGAGAGAGAGAGAGAGAGAGAGAGAGAGAGACCACCTGGCAGCCTACTACTTTTTTTTTCTTTTTTTGCTGCAATCCAGGGCTGACTCACTTTGGGAAAAAGGGTTTGAGCCATGTGGCATCCCGCATAGCTACTGGAACAAGCGGAAGTCACCGATAGTGAAGTGAAACATGCAGCAGCTACATTCATATACTGGCCGGGCACGCGCGTGCGCTGATCGCAAGGCATGGTCTTGGGTTGAGACGAAGGCGGATGTAACAGTACAAATACCTCGTATCCTGCACGCTACCCGGGGCGGGGCCATGTGTGCTGGCGCGTCAAACAAGTCCAATCTTAAGCGCTCAATGGTGTCCACAAAGGTACATACACACACAGGTACACACCCCCCTCCCCCCCCTGGCTGGCTGGCAAATCAACTTCTCAACGACTAGACTTCGCGATACGCACTAGGAGGTAGATGATGTCCGGCTAGATGGCTATTCGCGGTTCTGGTGGTCTCGGCTCTGGTGCCTTATCCATCATCACTTTTGAAGCAACACGGATTTTTCATTAGATACATCAATCGGCTTAGTGGCACGAGATCACATACTCTTCGTGCTCGATCTCCGTTCCAAGACCCACTATCAGCTTCTGGGGCACTCACTCTGGACAAGACTGGTTGGGTCATTTGACTTCTCTGCTCAATTTTTGCTAGACTTGACTATTTTCCTGTTCCATGTGCTGAAATTTTTTTTGATATTCGAACAGTGACCAAGCCAGACAGAGCACAACAAAGCTGCCAAACTTCTTTCATATCGCACAAGTGAGTTTGCAATTCGCACCAACGAGTCTCTGTTGTCACAGAGCTATGCTATCACAGTAATCATGGCACCACAAGTCTACGATCGTACCTGATACAAACGACGCATCCGGCCCTCCGAGCATCTTGTCTGACCACAAGTACCTCGACTACGGATAACGTACTCGCTTCTTCTCCAAAAGGGGGAACCGACCGTTCAAGGATCATCCAGTGAGTCAAAAGACACTCAGAGATATGCCACCGTCCATCCAGAAGACTGTACGGATTGGAAGAGACTGCCAGGGTTAACGAGAAAAAGGAGACTGTACGATACGAAAAGCGTAAACGGGACGTTGCAAGGCCATACACACCAACTACAAAAAGAAATCAGTACGACACTTGTACTCTGAAGAACCTGATGTCCTCATGGTCGCCATAATGTGATAAGAAGCCCAAGGTTCAAAAGACTTCTTCTTCTTCTTCAGCCCTACTCCTTCGATCCGGAAGTATCAGTTGTCCAAATCGCAATAACAAACCGCATCACAAAAGACGTTTTTTTTTTCTGCTAATACAAGCTACACACCACGAAAACACCAAACAGACTCTCAACGGTAAGAAAACGTCTCTCTCTCTTTCTTCTCTCTTCTCTCAGAGATACTAACAACGGCGTTTTTGACTTGTTGTCAGCCAATCTCAACCACCAATACCCAGATTACTACTACCTTACTAGCAAGAACTTCCGCCCGCGAGAAATTATCCGAAAAATTTCTTCAAATCGCCGGGACTTGTTATTTGTATACCTTACCTTAACATCCTTTTTACGCAGGACTATACTGATGCGATACTAAGACAAGACGGAAGCTATACCTAGTGGAGGATTTCTCTCTCTTCCTCTCTCTCTCTGCAGCGACATATTTACTTACTAATTCATTCATTCATTCATTCATTCATTCATTCATTCATTCATTCGCACCCCGTCCTCCTTTCCATCGAAAATGCTCTAAACTCACTCAACTCAACTCAACCTCCAACAAAAACCTCACTCCACCCCATCCTTCCTCTCCGTACCAAACACCTCCTCGTTGAAGCAAATGACGCCTCGTTTCCAAGTCAGATTTATTTATTCATTTATTCAATCGATCGATCGATCGTGACTGACGTGGTTAGTGCTTCTATCCTCCTCCTCCTTCTCCTCTTTTCTATACGGCCCGAAGTTGTTTTAGTGTACGGTTGGAAAAGGGAAGAAGAGAGGGATTGGAAAGGGGAAGAAGAGAGAATGGAGGAGATGGAGGGGATGGAGGAGATAACTCTCGTCCTTTGAGGGAAAAAGAAAAAAGGGTCGGAAGGACGGTCTTGGAGAAATGAAGGTTTTTGTAAGGCCATAGGTGGGAGGGGGGTATAGGAGGTATAGTATATGTATGTGTATGTATAGGTATAGGTACGATTTGAACACTCTTCTTCTTTTTCTTCTTCTTTTTCTTCTTCTTCTTCTTCTTCTTCTTCTTCTTCTTCTTCTTCTTCTTCTTCTTCTTCTTCTTCTTCTTC